AATGCTTTTAGAACGTCTGAATGCATGCACGAGGTTTTATTCGCACATTGACTGAATAAAGCTTTAGTTTATAAGGTTACCTTTATATCATGTGAAAAATATAAGATCTTTGCTATTTTCTTCTGTTAAAATATGTGTGACAATTGCAGTAGTGTAAGATGAATGGCATCCTACTAGCTTGGCCTAGTGGGTTAACCCTTTAGCTCAATCAGTAGAGCACTGGACTGGCAAGCCAGAGGTCCCGGGTTCGATCCCCAGCAGAGGCAATAAAATGTCTCTGTTACATTTGGCGCACATGTTGGGACCCGGGTGTTCTCTGGCGGGTGAGAGTGATTGCCCCTAGAATTTCGCCCCACAGGTGTCGGCACTCCGAAAGAGATGAAGACATCTCATTTTCTGGAGGGGGACAATTTTATTGAAATTTGTAAAGGACTCAGGAATCATGATTTTAATTCTGATGTCATTCTTTGAATGGTGGAAGTCCCAACGCTGGGCTACAGAACATTGTAGAATCAGATCGATGGTAAGTTACTCCTAATGTAAGAAAGCAATTTTGTAAGTGTCGAAGAAAAACTTTCGGGGTGGCTGGATTTGAATTAACATCCGATTTTTACAGTAACCGATATTGATATTTTGTTAAAATTTGACATTTATTTGAAGTAAACGGGTTTTTTTCCTTCTTTTATCCAAATTCTTGCCCCCATATTCTAGTCAATAAGGCTTTTTACAAGTATAATCAAAGTTTTGATAACTTTGAATCTTGAAGAGATGCAGAGGGGTCGTGTCAAAACCGGAAGTGTTATTGATAAAGCACCTACCTGCGGATAAAGCATAGGTGGTATCATCAATACGTATAAGATAAAAAAAAATATATTAATAATTTTCATTTTGCGAGCATAAAAAGGTATTATTGTATATTATTTTAGGATTTTTTTTCAGCTTATATGATGCAATTGTTCATAACAATAAATTAAAGTTTCTGTGAGGCCGATAAATTACATTTTAACAGTAAATATCATGTGATCAAAAACTCACCGATGCAACGAAAATGGCACTGAGAAGGATATATTCCATGTTTCTACATAGACGCACTTGTCTCTTAGCAGTCTTTCATTTTTGTCCTCGTTAAAAAAGATTTATGCGCGACTTTCTGGTTAGAGTTCATAAATAATTTTTTTTTAAATCTTTAACTTAAACCAAGACCAATTTATGTCACATATTTATGTATATGTAAACAGTAAGTATCACATTATGGATAGAATTAGTCCAGGTATAACCAATTATCGACGAAAGATGTGAAGTTGGAATTTATTAAACTTCGTATTTACAACTAGGTAAGATGGTAACGATTTGTCAAATTAGAAGAAAATATTTGCATCACTAATGAAATAAACAATTAACTAGATGTGTAAACACCAATACATGACTTTGTGGTTTTTAATGTTCATTAATATGAAGGTTAACACGTGACCACACAATAGACAATCATTGCTTCAAAAATGAAAGGTTTATTGTTATACAAGTATACTAGTATATAGATTTATAATATTACGTTCAAAATTATAAGACACGTTGATATTTTAATGCATTGCACCTTGATGTAAACATATTGTACACATATATATAAACCATTAAATTATTATGTTGCATTCAGCTGTATGTCAGTCTTAACTCTATATACTTGTTTATTCCATGTATACCTTCTGTTTTCTTCCTCAGAATTATTTGATAAATACATATACATGTGAAAGTATGCTTTTTGTTCAGAGATGCACGTGTGTTTGTATGCAGACTCAAAGATGCATGTTGTATTTATACGGAATGACTCAACCTGTCTAATAAAGATTGGTAGCAATCTATATTCGGACGTATTTATCAAGAAAGAAGTTTTCAAATAAAACTTAAAAGCCAAATGAATCCGTCGTCAATTGCCTGACTTATAAGAATATATATGTTTCATCTGTATTTCATATTTCTATCAAAAAACATCAATTTGTCCAAAGTTTTCACAGGAGAAAAACGTTATTGATAATCGCCAAATATGAAAGGAGCTTACTATGAGATCTGAACTATTATACTCTCGTCAATAACTATGATTTTCTTGCTCAATTAAAGAAAATATATCTTTTATACTTCACGGCGGGTGTAATCAGCCTGCAGTTAATGCTCACCCCTCAATTTCACCTGATTCACAACTAATGTTTTGGAGGTCCGCGTTAGAACCGTTCCTAATTTGTATCATATGATATACTTTTGAGCTTAAATACTGTTTGATATCTCCACATATGTTATGTTTCTATTTTAAACTGCCCATTATGTCCAAAAATTTCAAATCAATTAAAACATCTGGATTTTTGCATTATATTTTGAAAAAACCTATTACAATTGTATGTGATCTGAACTGTTTTATTCTCATCAATCACAAGGATTTTCTGCTTAATTAGAGAAGCGAACACCTGACAGCTAAAGGTCAAGGTATGATGTCTACATTGTCAGGTAACAAGTGTAATCAGACAGCTGTCCTAGTCTATATATAGTAACATCATTTATTACCAGGGAGTATGGTCATTTGCATATTCACGTAATACATACAAAAAAAAAAGAAAAAAAATAATAATGTAAGATGAAACATATGCCTCTGTGTTGTTAGAAAATGTAGAGATAAGGAAATTTCATTGTAAGATAATCTTATCAAAAGATTTTATTTTTTTTTAATTGAAAAGCCATATATGACATTTAAATGAAAATAAAACATTATATACTATTAGACATTTTGCTAACACAGAGGAAAGAAAATAATGCTTTATCATCAGTCTTTGACATAAAAAGAATTATAGTTATTCAGACACATTTTTAAAATTAATTTATTAGTAAATGAGTAAATTGACCTGCAATTAAAAAAAAACAATCAAGATTTGTATTTAAACATTACTATTAAATAAGGATAATAAAGGGACGGATCCCAAGATCTCTGCTTCTGATATTTCAATTCAAAACTTCTAATTTATGATTTAATTAAGCTTGATAAAACACATTTTATCAGTGGTGAATTTATATCCATGACAAATTTAATGCATATAAAATTATTTGGTAGAGAAGACACACGTCACATTTCTGAAATGAAGACATTTATAACAAGGGCATGATATGTGCATTTATATACTTTCTAAAAGGAAATAGCTGGCGGTTTTCATATAAAATGAAAAATTATAAATAACTTTCATGAATATTGAAACGTAATATTATCATCAATAAAGAAATTTATAGAAATAATCCAATAATATACATGTTTAATCAGCCGAAGAATTTTTTTAAATGACGTTTATTCATTTTCATTATGAAGGAAATTTGAAAAATTATAAATACCTTACATGAATAATGAAATGTAATATTATCATCAATGAAGGAATTTATAGAAATTCCTATTAACTGTTAAATTCAATCTAAAAAATTTTATCTTTTAAATTTTTATACCAACTCAGTGATAATATGAACAAATACTAAAATTCCCACTTCACCTTAGTACTTTGTACTTTTTCTTACCTGTATTTCACAGTTAAGGCGAAATGGGAACACACCAAATATCCCACAATATACATGATTGATCAGCATGAGGACTGAGGACTTTTATTATTTTTTTATTCTGAAGGATAATTTGAAAAACCATTAACAACGCTGACCTTTGAAACCTCACCATAAATGAGAACAAAATGTGTGAGGTTTGTTTTGAAATCTAGTTTGAACACTCTGGCTTTTACAATTATTAATTAGACAATGCAAAGGAGCATCGGCAAAAACTAACTCCTATCGAAGAAACATGATTAAATGGAAATAACAATAAAAATTAGAATACTTCTCAGAAATAAAGCCTTCTGATTAAATATAATAGGAAATTATTTTTGTAAGAAACAATTTGGTTATCAAAGTGTGAATTTGAGTAAGTTTAATTTTAATATCCAGCAAAAGTCTACTTGAATACGGAAGTTAATTACTGTTGTGTGTAATTAACAAAACATTTAAATTGGTCACGAGTTCCAACCTCAATATTTAAATGTAGATAAGGATAGTGAAAGACAAACTAAGTTATAGTCATCACTTTGTATTAAAGATTAAACAACTAACATTACAGTGTATCGCCGTAATTATATTTTTTTTCCAAAATATTAAAGGAGTTGAAGGTGAAATGTCGGTCGTGCTGATACATGACACCTTTACTAACGATGACAAATATCTTTTTCACTACCTCCTTAATTTATGAATATTGTTCGTTATCTCCATATCCTTCATGATTCAACATTGGGCAGATCATAATTGTTCAGCATTGTTCATCAATATTCATCTTTAAACAACTTTTTATCTCTCAAAATTCAAATTAACATTTGGAAGCATGGAATTCCTTACTTTTGCATATATATATTTAGACAATGATACTATCAGCTATGTTTATCAATATTCCTCGATATTAAACGATATTAAGCGATATTTTTTCCCCTTTCAAGTATCGAAAACGTATTGAATGCAATGAAACTTTGAGAAGCATATGAACTTCGATTATATTTTTTTCTTAATTTATAATTTTATATTTGTTTTAAATAATCATTCATTATCTATTTCATAAATTGTTTAGAAATTGAAAGTTCTTATTTTTTAGCAGAACTTTAAGTAACTGATACCTTCAACATTGCACATCAATATTCAACGATATCAAAACTCATTTTCCTCCTAACATGTAAAAATCATCTAAAAATAATAATGAAAAGTTTTGGAAGCATGAAATTTACTGATACTTTTTAATAATATTACATATTTTTTTGGATTTGAGAGAATATGTGTTTAAGATAATATTCAATCCCAAATCATATAGAGTCATGAAAAACGAGATTATTAATTTTTTACTTAACTTTACAGTACCTAGTACTCAAATATTGTTTGAAAATATTAACATGCATTCATAATTAAATTATACAAGAAATGTTTATCACTAATGTAAAATACAATACCTTTATGATAAAGAAACAGGCAAGAAGCAAGCCAAGTAATCCCAATGAAGGCATATTTTTAACAAAACGAAATAATCCTTTTCGAAAAGAAGGTAAAGTCGACGTTTTTGGTTTTTGTTTTGTTTTTTTGTTTTTTTTGTTTTTTTTTCACAAGCAAGAATTACTCACAATAACATTTCCTCTTGAAACACGTCCTGCCTGGTTAAAATATTTAGGCAGGATCTACTTAATGAAAATGAAAAACCCAAAAAACTGAAGAAGAGACTGCTCAGCACTGAAATTAATTACTGTCACGGCGTGTCATATAATTGTATGGTAATCCCGCACATATTAAAACTAATAAACGCCAAGCGATACATGTAAAATTAACGCATTTTAAATGCAGAAAATGACTGCAGGTTTTAATTATGAGTTTTACTGTTTTCTCAATCAGAAGCAATTTAAGGACTAATAATTGCTGATTAAAATTCACAGGAACATTATTGTAAGAAAATTTAGTGTTCATGTGAAATTAAAAAAAAATAATATAAGTAATAAAAATTTTATTCATTTTTTAAAATGAACAGTTCCCATAACAATTTAATTAATTGATTAAAACTGTACAGTAACCCTTTCTTTTAAGAAAAAAATGTGTTTTTTTCGGGGAAACTTTGTAGCATTTAGGAAGTATCTTTAATTTAACATTACGTAGCAATTTGTTCATTTATTATTATTTTTACAATTGAAATTAACTCAAATAATAAAACGCCTTTCATTTTATTATAAGTACCGATATTAAAAAAAGAAAAAAAAAACAGCTTTTTCCAATAGCTGCTGCGGTACTTCCCTTTTAGAGACAATATATCTTAGTTAACTGGTCATAGTCGTCGTTGGCCCCTATATTGATCTAGTAGACGCATTCTTTCGTCTTTAGGCCTCTGTTGTTCTACTTTTTTTGATTCCTGAAAGTTATGTCTTGCTAGTGAATCCATCCAGGGGTAGTGACGGTGGAGTCCGATAGAAGGCGTTTAATCCTCCCAGGCACCTGATTCTACCTGCTCATATTGTCAGGTGATTATTCAAAGTGAACGTTAAACAAGTAAATCTGTTACTTTTATATTTTTGTAAATTCTACCACACTTAAGACAAGTTAACAGTTTTGAGTAGCACAAATGAGAACCTTCTTGATTTACATGGACAGGAGCATTTATATATATATATAATTTACCTGGTTTGTTCAATTACACGCACCACTGAACACAAGCAACAGTGTCATTTTCATTCTAACATCTGTGTATTACAATAAGCTGGACAATCTTTTATATATTTTAAGATGTGTTTGGGAATAATTTTCATTTAGAAGGTGTCTGGATGTAGTGTAAAATATTATATTTTTGTGGGGTGAAATTTTCGTGGTTAGAGTAAAAACTCCTGGTTCGTGGATATTTGAATTCGTGAATGAAGAATTATTGAGAAGATATGCATGTAACGTTTTACATTTCATGTTGGACATGAATTCGTGGGTTTTTTCATACATCGAAAACATATACTTAAAAGTTTGTTTTTTTTTTTTCATGACGTGATCTTTGAAAAAGACACTTAATACAAGTAATTGAATTAAAATTACCCCCAAAAAATTTCCAACGATAAGTCAAAATATTACCAAAAAAGCTAGCTATTAACTTTGGTTTGTATAAATTCAATTACGCCACACTAGCAAATTTTATTTTTAAAATCTTCCGTTGTACAGTCAAACAACTCAATTCACAGTCCTCTTTTGTGATTAACCGGGAAAAAAAATTATTTGCGGTAAACAGTTAAACAGCTGAATTCACAGTCTTCTTTGGTCAGGAAATTATTTCTGTTCCCACAACATCCTCCGAAGCGGAAAATCTCACATTGTCTGGACGCCATATTATACCACCAGCGAGGAATGGCCGCTATACAGGGACCCGGAATTCTGGGTAATTGACAGATCGAGTGTAGAGGTGGAGGATCTTTAAACATTAAATAAATAAAAACAAATTAGTGTTGCATTGAAATTTTTAAAAAATCTATTCCATTTACTAAACAAAACTTTCATAATTGTTCATAATTGTTTGTGGGCAAAACAATCTATTATTTTTTTTATTACAAATTTATTACCCTGAAAACAGGAATACTATTAATAAAGCCATCAAAATAAAATGAGCTTTTAAAATGCTTTATTTGACATTGATTACCCTCTCTCTCATCTATCTATTCTCTAATCTATATATCCTATCTATATACTTACATATCACGAAACCGTTAAAGTCTGGTTTTATACACATTGTTCTGCAACCGCAACCAAAGGTACAACATTTTTCTCCTGATAATATAAAAATTCTTGTTTTTCTAACATTGAAAAAAAAGATGTTCTTTTATTTTATTTTATTTTTTTTTTAAATTTTATATAAGATTTTAAATGCTTCAATGACACATCTGGAAATAACGAACAGTATTCAAGATCAGAAGTCAATATAACAATACAAAATAGGAGCAGAGCAGACACAGACCTCAAAAACATAAGAGGGGGGATAAGGTGGCATGGAGGAGTGAGTATCCCCTGCTGTCCGGACTCACCCGCCTATCAAACCTATCAAAGCAATATGCTGAAGTCAAATACCATCATAGAATTGTTATTGTAAAAAGAAAGCCACTGACTCCCTGGACAGTCCGAGTCTTTTCTGCACCATACGTTTTCTTTCTTACAGTCACATGATGTCCACAACGGAAGCCACGGGCATGCTCCAGATTTAGGAGGGAAGATATCCGGACAAAACGATCCGGAATGTATCTCAGTTTTTGATGTACAAAGCTAAAGTGAAAAAATAGTTTGGATATAAGTAAATGCAATAAGTGGATAAATAAAAATGATTATAATACGTAGATGGGGTGCTTACGATTTAACTGCAGTGAAAAAAGAATAGTGATGAAAAAAAAATTTGATTTTTTTTTTTTTTGGGGGGGGGGGGGCTGGAGTTCCTGGAGTTTCAACATTAATGTAGTCTTCGGAGACCAAGTTGGAATTCCGATAAGCTTTTATTTTGTGACTTTTTTAGCTGATCCTTTTTTTTATATTTCTATGACGCTAAATTTATAAATCTATTAAATACACACATATGAGGCACTTGATGTGGGCATAGACTAGATATTCGGATTTATCATTAATAATTTATCAATGAATGATAGTAATTTACATTATCATTTCGACTCCAATTATTCAAGTTATCTTGAAAAAGATATAGTGAAGTAAATTTATTCAAAAAATAATTTTCAGGTAGCCTTTGAAAGCAAAAACAAGAATTCTGTTAGCCAATGCTCAATAGTCATATACCCCTCTGATGTACTAATACATGCACGTATCAGCATATAGTGTTTGATGTTAATTTCTCGAATGGTTTATTACAGTTGAGCTGGATACTTATTTAAGAAATGAGTGATGAAGGTCAAAATACTGTTGGTATTTCCTTAAAACTTTAGCCAAATGTTAATGTTTATAAAGCGAGATCAGTGAAAAAAAAGTAAAGGTAAAAAATACTGATGCAGTTGAAAAACTAACATCAGTTTGTATCAGCATATGAAGTTTGATTACACAGTCAGGAATGGTTTATTGAAAAGACTTCTTGTTGTTGTTTTTGCTTTGAAAAGCTACATGTACCTGGAAATTATTTTTGAAAAAAATTACTTCACTATGTCTTTTTCAAGATAACTGGAATAAATTGTGACGAAATGTGAATTACTATTATTCATTGATAAATTATCAATGATAAATGTGAATATCTAGTCGAAGCCAACATCTGTCTTCTATAGGCGTTTTAAATAAATTTATGTCTCTTACTATTGTAAGAAAATCCAGAAGAAGGTCAAAGGTAAGAACAAGATCAAAGGGTGTTTAGGCAGTTGAATAGTGCCTATAACTATCTATTGGCATATTAAGTTTGATAACACTTTTTGAGTAGATCCTTTACAACTGAGATTTAAACAGAGCTAAACACTAATTTAAGAAGATCCATGTTAGAGTCAAAGAAATACTCAAGATAAAAAAATAGTGAATAGCTTTTATCAGTATTTATCATTATATGATGTTTGAAAAATAATTAAATATAGTGTTGAAACCAAGTTTTGAACTTAAGCTAAAACCAAAGTTTGACGGAAAAAGAGACGGAAGGACAGAAGACGATCAGAACAAACAATATCTGCTCCGGCTAAATTTCTGGCGGGCGTAAACATGAACATCTGCTGATTTCTTTCAGATTCATAAAGAATGAAAAAAAAAATTTTCACAGATTTTTTGAAAACACACCAGCATTGCTGGGCTATAACTCTAATCAACATCATCATTAGGTCACCTGAGTCACTCAGGTGACCTATTGCCATCCGTGTTTGTCCGTCGGCGTCCGTCGTCCGTCGTTCGTCGTATGTTAACATTTGAACATTTTCAGCTTCTTCTCTGAAACCGCTAAACCAATTTCAACCAAATTTGGCAAGAAGCATCTATGGGTGAAGGGGAACAAAAATTGTGAATTTCATGATCCCTGCCCCCCTGGGGCCTGAGGGGTGGGGCCAAAACCACTAAAATTAATGCAATCTTTAAAAATCTTCTTCTTTACTCCTGGACATCAAGCAGTCAAACTGTTTGTATGATTGTAATCAGCAATGAGTCCTCTACCAAAATTGTGAAATTCATGGCCCTGGGGTCAGGGGTTCTAGTGCTAGGGCGGGGCTAAATAAGTAGGTAGTGAAAATGCATTATTTCTTTGAAAATCTTCTTCTCTGCTCCTGGGTATTAAATAAACCAACTAAGTACATAGTTATGATAAGCAAGAGTGCTTCTACCAAAATTGTGAATTTTATGGCCCCAGGGTCAGGGGTTCTGGTGTTAGGGCGGGGCTCTATTGATTATATAGTGAAAATACATGAATTCTATTAAAAAATTCAACACTGCTCAAATCAATTAAAAAATCTTACTAAGTACATAGTTATGATAAGCAAGAGTGCCTCTACCAAAATTGTGAATTTTATGGCCCCAGGGTCAGGGGTTCTTGTTTTAGGGTGGGGCTCTAATGATTATATAGTGAAATGCATGAATTCTTTGAACATCTTATCCTTTGCTTCTGATTAATATACTAATGATCTAATTACATATTTAAGACCAGGATTTATTTTATTTTCTGTTTTACAAACCCTCCGCTCAAGGTTTTGAATTTTCAGAAAAAAATAAAAAAAATTTTCTTTCCGATGTCAAATTTGAGTCGGGATCGAGATTTCAAATTTACGAACTCGCACTTCCGGTTTTAAGATAAAACGGCGGGTAAATAAAGCTAGATCTGAGAAGATAACTTGGTTTAGTGTAAAATTCATCGATACTAGTGCCATTCAAAACGTTTCACCCGTTCAAAGGACAAATAAAATGCTGATGACTTTGTTGCACATTGACATGCTGGTGAGATAATTATGTATTCGTTTCAAAAATATCTGTCTGTAAATTATTTTCCTCCCCCAGGTTTTAAACTGCCCGTGGTAGCTATTGCATATTGTCAGCGACATTGTTTAGGTCTCTGTTATAGCTTACAGTCTAAGCATCATTCTTCAGAAAAGGGTTGCTTATGCATCAGATGTAATGAATAAAACTATGGGAGAAGTTAAGTCCATTTGAGGAAGAAATAAACAATAACCTGAAGAAATAAAAAAAAATTCAACTATTAAAAGGCAAGATGTTCACTCTACTCCCCAATACTCCCGGTCTGTTTTATGATAGGAATTATAATTTTAGGCATCAAGTAAATTTTAGAACAATGTTTACACATTCACCTAACACATATTTAAAAAAATGAAAATATATTGAAAGACTTTTAAAGAATTGATTTTTTAAAATATATTTTGACCAACATCACAAAATTTATATAAATGGCCCAAACTGGCAGATGATGAAATAAGCAATTAAATGCTCTACTTTCCTATTTGTAAGCATTATGTGTCTAGTAGTAAGGAGCCTATTAGACATGTTAAAATAGCATAAAAGAAGAATGTACAAATGTTAATAATTGATTTATCAAAAAAAAAAAAATTAATTCCTTCTCCTTCGGGACTTTTTTATTCTCATGTTCATAACTAAACCTAAACATAAAAAAAATGCTGGCCTTATAATGAAGAAAGGGGCCTCTTGCAAATAGATAATTTCAGGGCCGCTGGGTCAGAGGTACCAGGGGGATACTTTGACTAAAAATAAAATAATGCTTTGAAATCTGCCCTTTGATAAGCAATGGTGCCTCCTTCAAAATTTGTGAATTTCATGGCTTTTGGATTAAAACACGAACCCATTACAATCGCTAGAAAGTTGTTACATGATACTCAGGTGACCTATAAGGCCCGTGAGCCTCTTCATTTGGATTAAAAAAGTTAATATTCTTCATCTTGAATTAAATTTTGAAAGGGTTTTAAAAAGTTTTCCTTAATGTGTAGAGTAGAAGAGAACTAATATGGCGTTGTAACATGGCGGAATTGTACCTAAATATGCTACCACATTATATAAATTACTCGATTGCAAAAACAAAGCTCATAATTGAAGTTTGAATTTACGTGGGATATCTTTTACAGCTTGAGAAGACCATCCATTTTCACGGGTTAGAATATGTGTTTAAATAAAAATGGAAAAAATATATAAATCACTTGATTTCATACAATTCATCTTTTTTTTTCTTTAAAGAAGATGGGGGAATATGGGAGCACAATGCCTATAGCTTTAGATATGAAGAACTCATATCAAATATGTGAACTGAGTGTTTAAATGAAGTTATCATTATTAAATATTGTGAAATTATGAGAAACAAACCTTTTCTGAAAGAAAAAATTCTCGGAAAAAATTATCTTTGATAAAAAATGAAAAAATGGAGTTCGTTTGATTTGAAATCTAAACAATGCAATCCGGATTATCACACTACTTTGAGACTTACGTGCTTACTATTACGCTCCATTGCCAGTGATTACTTCGGGCATTTAAATCATGTTTGCGATATGACCATTTACTTCATGAACTTGAAGTATATATCAGAAAAATGCAAATGTTTTGTCATAAAAATTTAATTCTAAGGTATATTGGGTCTTTACCCTATGTTTTTGTAAAACCAAAAAATGTATATTTGATTGCAAACTTTTAGAATTTTCTTTAAAGAAATGGAGCGAAGACCGACTCATATTGAAAAAAAAAGTTAAAAGTATGAGAAAGTGATCTTTATCGTTCTTTTTAGTTCGTGTGTGCTTTTTACATAGAAGGATATGGAGATTACGAACAGTATTCAATATCAAAGTCCAAAAACAATACAAAATATAAGTAGAGCAAACATGGACCTCCGAAACATCAAAGATGGGATCAGGTGCCATGGAGAAATAATTTCAGTCTTCGTGTTTTTTTTTTTTTTTTTTTTTTTTTTGTAGATTGTAGATATTTTATATTAAGTACCCTTTAATTTGAGAAGAAAAAATTCAAATAAAATTTGGATATAATTTGAAATTTAAATTTTCAGTTCCTGTCTGTCGCACTTATAATTAAGGCACTTCGTCCGCATAATCCCCCCTCCCTCCCCCCAATCCTCTTTCATAAAAATAAAAATAAGTCTGAGGTTATAAGATGTGTAAAAAATGTAAAAATTTAACTTGACATTACATATCAAAATATATTATGAATAAATAAATGTTATTTTTATGAATAATTGAAAAAAATAAAATATTACCGATTTGGAAAAGGATTGCTTTATGTACATTTTAGCAATTAGTTTCAAGTCTAATCTTGCTTCTTACCTCTAACACAAGTCCCAACAAACAAAGACAGATTTTCCACATCATTTCTACGAAAAGGATCCATACAAAATTAAGTTCTAATAAATTGAGAGGTTTTTTAAGCCATAAGGAAATATGGGCTTTTAAATTCAATTAAGAAGAGCAAATCTGTTTTAAGGTTTTCTATTAAGTCATAAATTATTTTCAAAGAAACTTAGCGTGTATGCTTTCTGCTCCAGGAAGCTTGTTAAATTACTTTAAAATTAAACGGACAAGTGTCATAATGAAAAAAAAAATCTCATGCATAACAGTGCATTAATCAAAATCTTATGTGAAAAAGTCTTCTATGAAGTTAAATACATTTGAAAAGTTTTACAAATATCTAGTTCCTCATTAATGCATGCATTATATGCAACCGAACATTCGAATAGTGTTGTAACTTAATACATCTAGTCATTTAATTCTTAAGCTGTTTGAATTTAATAACATACATGTATATCTAATAATATTGTTTAAAAGCAAAAACGCATATTTGGTGATTATATTATTTACAAAATTCATATATTGTTGTATTAAATTAAAGATGGTCTTCATACCTAATATACTGAAAGGAAAAAGAAACGCATATTTTACTTTTAAATTAAATTAAAACTATTATTTCGAAAATGTTTTCCAGTATTGTTATCAAACATTTTAATTCATCTTTAATCTACAAGTTAACAAAATCTTGTGTGACTTTGACTGATAATTCCTGAGTTATTGAAATTGATATGTCGATACCCCCCAAAGTTAAAATAAAAATTCTCATCATCTCCCTTGCACATTGGTAACAGCCTTGATTTTCCTGTGCATTGAGTTCACTAGAGCATTTATCTTTCTCATTTGATTATTATTCAAAGCTTCCGACAATAGTCTTAATGGTTGATAGAAGCTGTATCATTCCAAAGCCAACAAATCCCCCGCCAAATGAGTGCCACGAATTTTCATTTTAGGATAGAATTTACAGAATCCAGCTTGTTTGGTACACGTGAATGTTTGTGAGAAAGTCTCGACAAACACTGGCTACATTTTCCGAGTGTGAACATGCTAAAAACATTACGCACACGACGCGTACGTGCCCGCGTGAGAGTAAAATCGACGTAAAAGTTGCCAAGCTCGCGGACCAAATTAGAGCAGAGAATTTCTGTCAATTTTAGGGTGAAAATATTGGTATGATAGTTTGCTGTATAAATTTCGGTTTCAGTGATAACACCTTGACAACAACCGAGGTGACATGATGAAAAGCACTGTCTTGATGTGACGTTGTTACGCGTCAACGTCACCGCCATCGATGGTTGGAAACCTTTTAATTTACTCTCTGACAACTGAAAAACCTTTTTTTGTTGAAAAGTTTAAAACAAACTGCACAGCAACATCTTGTTGCCTTTTTATTCACTTACGCAATTCAATTACTGGAACCAGTGTAACTTCCGTCAGCCATACCATGATTGCACGAAATTTATACTGATTTCAAATGCGGAAAACGATGTCTATAACTCCAATGCACCGATTAGCACTACAAAATGTGATCATAAAATTGTCATCATCAACATGCACGTGTTTTTGGCTTTTTATCATTTCCCCTACGTGACCCCATACATTTCATGGTTGAGTAATTTTGACCAGCAATTTTAGTGCATAGTAATCAAAATACACATTTGACAAATTTTCATAATTTTCGGCCATATAGTTAAATGTATTTCGATATTATGCTATTATGCGTTTCTTTTTCCTTTCAGTATATATAAAGAAAGTGAAAGGTGTTTAATTCTTAACCCAACCAACCACCCCCGGCCACCCAGGGATTTTTTATATTCATTTCGAGACGGAATTCCAGGTTCATAAAGCTAAAGATTCTCTTCTGATTAAACACGGCAATAAGAAATATGGAGGACGGACGGTCATGTCCCGTGGTTGCATTCGAACACGCAACATCATGATCAACTCATTATTCCGCAGTTCCAAAAACTCCTGCCTCTCTGCCATGCCGCTGACTGCCAAAGCGTAATTATATGAATTAAAATTCTGGTTTTTAACAGCCTTTTTGGTTTTCTTACAAGACAGTCACGGCGCAATACATTGGATGTTTTAATTCTCTTTTGATAATATATAATATGTTTGGTCTTTGCAGCTGTTGTTTGATCAAATACAGGTTTGTTTGCTTCTTAATTCTTTGTTCATTGCCTCGTTATTTTATAACAGATGACAAGCCCTAAATTTTGCTAGGTATAGCAAAGTTTCACATATACCTCCCAAGATTTGGAGAGATTGACAGTTTTCGTCTCAGCAATGAATTGTTTCTTCCACTCTTTAGGGATTTCCTCTGCTTCTCATATTTTATTTAATTGACTGTACCTATATTCCCTTATTTCTTGTCTTTAAGTACATAGTGAGTCCGGTAATACAGATTCGCTTTGTTAATTTTTAAAGTTTAAAGATTTACTCTAGCTATTTTTACTTTGTGCGTGCATCCTCACGCGACCTGTAAAATGTTATATATTAGATGATTGTTGTTTTGTACTTTTTGAAGACTGTATAATCTCTAGCTTTTCCGATTTTATTTGACTGGTTATGATTTTCTATCGATTATCTCTTGCGCACACGCTTTTATTTTCTTCATGTCTAAAAAAGTGTGTATTATTCCTAACATCTATTATATGATTAAAAATTGTTTCAATTGTAATTGGGATGTAATTTTAAATAATCATTTCTCTGACAGAACAAGATCTTTTCTAGAACACTTTTCGCTCAGTAAATATCTTATACAGATATTGGAAAGATAAACAATTTAGAAGGAATTGTTAACATATCCCCCCTTCTTTACGACACATGTATATACATGTATTACTTTTCAGTGTGTTCTTATGCTTATTACATAACTCTAAAGAAACATAGACAAGATCATTTACATACTAGTATTCTAAATGCTGATATAGAGAAAATCGACGTAAATGAACGACTGGTAATGACTTCTTATCATGTCGAAAACATTAGCTTGTACATGCATTTAACTCTAGTTTACTTATAATTGCATTGAGGAATTTTTTGGTTTTATTATTCTCAAATAATGATGACATAATCTAAATGAGATTTCTTCCATCAACTCTTTTAGAATTTCGTCAATCTGTAAAAAAAAAAAGCAGAGAAATATTAAATGCTGGTTTATAAAAACAAGAGGCCCAAGGGCCTTAACTCTCACACTGTAAATGATCCAGAGAAGTATTAAGCAAATTTTACTGATAGACGAAGCCAAAATCCGCCGAAATTTAAAACATCTGGTAAAATACCATTACTTATTGTAATGTGCGAGGCTCGAATAATCTCCTTGGGATCATTCTTGGTTTCCAAAGTCTTACAGGGATGAAAATCAATGCGATATATACAAATACAATAGACACTTGCCTCCTGTGTAAAGTATTCAATGTATATGTTTTCGTCAATTGCCTAGTGCAACAATTCAGTACACACAGACTTGGGAATACAACGTGGCTATTTGCCACTTGTCACTATCGGTATCTACAATAAGTCGTCCCGGCTCTCTTTGGTTCTTTTTCACTTTATAGAGAATAAAACAATTATATTGACTTTTCTACCATTGGCAATTTTTTAGATCACCTCAATATAATCATATACTATGTACAAATACAACTTTTGCTGAGTATATAAATAATCTTTATGTCAATCTTTATTACTGATTTTCCAATTTAGAAACATTTAGCAAAGAGAGTCACCCTCATTTGCTTCACTTATCACAATATTGTGTACTCTGTTTGCCTGTTAGATACCTGAAAGTAAAGAAATGATACCTTTATTAATAATTATATCTAATTAATCTATTTGCATTGATATTATTTCTCTTGTTTGCTTAGTACAAAGGGGCAGAGGATTAGACTTTCCAAGCATTAATGCAGTTTTTCTAATCTTAATCAATCAAACCAATCCAAGCGCAAGAATCCCTAATCCAGGGGCCATGATTGTTTTCTTTTTTATTTTGGAATAGGCATCCTTTCTTATTCATAACTATTTATTTATTTTGTTAAATTTATACCAAGGAGCAGATGAGAAAAATTTAAAAGCATAATTTACTTTCAGTATTTAATAAATAAGCATCCCCACACCAACCCCTAAATAGTACCCATAACCCAGGGGCCTTGAAACTCATAATTTTTGAAGAACAACTCTTCCTCCGCATAACTATTTACTAAGTTCATCAGGAGCAGAGGAGAGGATTTTCAAAGTCTTAATGCATTTTCACTATATAATCATTAACGTATTACCATAACAATGGAACCCCTGATCCAGGGGCCCAAAAATTCACAGTTTTGGAATAGGCACTTTTCCTCATCATAACTATCTTCTTAGTTCATAGACTAAACATCCAATAGCAAAGTAGAAGATTTTCGAAGGATTGATGCATTTTCACTTCATAATTATTACAGAACCATTTGAAATACTGGTAGAGGCCATTTAGTTTACATATATATTGGCAACTCATGTTATATTACACTTACTCGTTAATACATGTATCAATGTATAGATTATAATGCATCTTTCATTTCGTTCATACAAAACTCTACTGATATCAATTAATCGCTATATTGGAGATTCACAAGCCTGATTTTCTTCATTATTCAACCAATTTCAACTTGTCATATGGTTCAATTATGTGAGGATAATATATTTCTTCTAACGAATTTTTGATAACACAAACGTCCTTGAATTCGCAATTTTAATATTCAAAGATTTTGGTTCTTATATTGCCTCCATAAACGTCTAAAATTGGTAGGTCAAAGAGTAAAATTCGCCTAATATGGCGGCCAACAGTAAAAAACTCGTTTAATTCAGGCCTATCAAAACTATATTTTGACCAAAGAAATCTTCCAATAGTCTTATGTCTATAGCTTTTGGCAAATGGGAAAATAGTTTTATCTATTGACTGAACAGAAATTAAATAGTATTAAGTATTCTATTACCTATTATTCTACCCTATAAGTATATTTATGACCTATGAAAAACTCCAACAAAGTAAATGTTTTTTAAATCTGTCTAACATTTTTAGTCAATATGTAAATACAGTAAACTCGGTTATAACGAAGTCACGGGGACCAATAAAATTACTTCGCTATATCCGTAATTCGTTATATCCGTATAAGGAATTCGTTAAATTAACATAGCTGGGGATCTAAAATAACTTCGCTATATCCGTGATTTCGCTATATCAGTGTGCGCACTAAAAGAGCTTTGCTGTAATTCTTTAAATTTAAAAAAAATCATAGAGCTTCAAGAGCGGTCGTATGCTATTTTGAAATATTGCGTCTACCATGGCCAGCATTAAAGACCACTCATGTGTTTATGTAGTCTATGAGCTAGGTTTCATTTTTTCATTTACTTTCACAGTGTCGAGATATCTATGTGGTTCTGTAGTAGAGGTACTTTTATTTAAAATAATAAAAGTTGTAGTGATTTTAAATGAAATAAAATGAATATTAAATATAAATTAAATAAACTAAATAAACTATTAAATAAGTTATAAATTTTAGTTTTCCGTTAAAGCTTTATTCTTTTCCTTTTTTACTAACTTGGTTATTTAGTGCTATAGTTATACACCCCTTTGGATCCACACCTGTACATATGCTTTTACATGACCACACACACATCTATTGGTCAAGGTTTGAAATACTTAGTTTTCATTGGTGGAATGTTTTGTCTTTGTGGGGCAGTGAGTTTTATTCAGAGTTAGATCTAGAATTCTTATGGAGAAGACGTAGTTTACTTTGCTGTTGAAATAAGTTATTTCCAAAGACTTGAGACCTTGGACAATTCCTGAAATGTAAGTTTTTACTTGTTTCATGCTACAAGATGTTTTCTATAATATTATGTTAAAAATGTGGAAAAAAGATATTATACTTTTAATTGTTAACATATTGAGTTATCTGTCTATCTATTCAGATATTGATAAATCTAATGAAATTTTCCTTAAGATCAATTTGTATATAAACCTGGAAATATTTTGAAGTGAAGATTTTGGTCATCAAGATAATGTAAATAATTATTTATTTTGAGAAAGGTATTTGTAAAGGACAAATCCTGATTTTATTATTCATTGTACATAGGTATCTCCATTAGTAAAGAAAGTATTTATTTGCATTGGAGAAAAGTTCAACTCCATAAATTGGTATGTCTATCTGTATATATATTTTTATGATTTGTAAAGAAATATCAAAGAAAGATAACTCTTCACAAGATTGTAAAGTGTAATAGTGTTATAAGAGTTAACTCCCTTATGTGATGTGTAAAGTATATTTATCTTGTTATCATAGTGTATGATAATAATTAATTGTAAAAGGAAAACAGATAATTTGTTATATTTTATAATCGGAATGTTTAATTGAAATACTATTTTTTTTGTACATATTTTTATGACGCAATTTGTATATTGCAGGACTTCCATATATATATCCATTGTTTCCATTATTCCAAATATTGTCCGTATTAATCACCTAAGATGTCATCATAATAAACGTTAAAACTACAACTGAGTGTTTTCCATCATATGCCGGGAATACCCGCTACAGTTCCAACTTACTTCTCCCTCGTCCACAGCGCTGATAGCATTCCTGAAACGATTGAAAATTGTTCTCATTTCCAGCACATCCGCCATAGATGAAGAATTCACATTGATTGGTCAAACTGTTGAACCACCATCTCGGAACAATAGCATAGCATCCCCCAAAATCTCTTGGAAGAGAGCAAACATTAGCTTAAAGAAACAATGCATTGTCATTTTTATGAGATAGGAAAGGTTTTTGGTGAAATAAACACGAAAATGTTTAAACAAATTAATCTATCGATCGATTTTATGTCTTCTCCCTAGTCTTTTAATAATCTCAAAAGTTTTCAATGTATTAAAACTTAATTTCTAGTTTCTTCCGGTGAAGGTACAAAAATAAGCAGAATAGTTGAGCCACGGAGACAATGTCTTCATCTGATTTGTAGTCTTTATTGATATAAGGAGATAACGAACAGTATTTAGGATCAAAGTTCACTGAAAAAATGTTAACCGATCTCTAAAAACATCCGAGTTGGGACAAGGGTGCCATAAAAGTGTAAGCATCTGTTGTCGACAGGTGACACCCGCGGTATGCCCCTTGCCATCGTCAGGCAAACAAAAATTCAATAGATAATTCTGTATTTTGATAATGTCCTAGTAATTGGTTTAAAAACATACTTCAACATTTGGTTTAATAATAGATTGTTTATGCTGACAGAGTCATTTATGTTTCAGTATCGAACAAATTAAATTATAAAATCAAAAGAGAAATCTAAAAGTAATTGTATGGACCATAGATATTGCGAAATGATGACTTCAATCGAGATTGTTGATATCCTTATTACTTCAACGTGTTGTCAATTGTATTTTTTTTAAATTACATGTTCTTTTGTTTTGAATCAAGCTGGAGATATGAACCCCATATGCGAGTGACGTCATTATTTTTCTACAAAAGTATGGAAAGTTAACAATAGAAAACGAACACGTTACGCGTATCATAAAACATATTATTATGTTTCTTTGTTGTTTCACATGATCAAGAATAAAGAGTGTTAAAGGCTGGATGTTTTTATTTTAAAAATTTATAAACCTGTTTCTAAAATAAGAATCCTTCTTCTGTGAGGCATCAATAGTGCTGACGTCACAATAGTCTATATATAAACTGGATGTTTCTAAAAACAGATACTGCAGGTGGCCATTCATTACTGTGACGTCAAAATGTAAATGACATAACAATGCCTTATATGAGAACGTACAAGGTATAAGAAAAGAAGGATTTCAAAATATTCATTATTAACAAATGAAAAAAAAATAAAACAATTGTAGCCTTTTGATTCAGTTCAATCCCTATATATATAGACCTGATGGAAAAAATATCGACCTCGCACTTCCTCCTCGGTTGATATGCTTCCTTTAAGGTCTATATATCTAGGAATTTGTTTAAAATCATTTGTTTCTCTAGTTTAATATCCAAATATTAAACAACGTCACCATTACCGGTGAAGGGCTGCAAATTTAGGCCTATGCTCGGCACTTACGGCATTTGAGCAGGGAGGGATCTTTATCGTGCCACACCTGCTGTGACACGGGGCCTCGGTTTATATTGTCTCATCCGAAGGACCGCCCCATTTAGTCGCCTTTTACGACAAGCAAGGGGGTACTGAGGACCTATTCTAACCCGGATCCCCACGGGGCCAAATGTACAGGAAGCAGAATTAGTACAATTTCGATAGATTGGTCTCCATAACAACATAGCTATTATCCAACAGAAACTCAATCATATTTTTAATATCATCTTCAGATTACTTGGGTGTACAATTAGAATGTTTTTTTTCTAACAAAATAGTTTTGCAAATGAATGCGCTCCATTCTACTAATGACTTAAGGTAGGTCGCGGGTTTACTGCATAAAAATTCTTACGAGAAAACACATCCTGAAAATTTGATAAAATGTTCCTTAGTATTCACAGCGTATTATCTGCAATTTTTATTAAATTTGCCTACGTATTTTTAATGCTATATTACTGTAAACGCGGTATTGTTGTTAGTACTTCTTTTACGCTTTACTATTGAAATGTATGGAAAAATGACGTTTTTAAGCCAATTTTGTGAAAATAGTTTCTGTTAAAAAGATTGGAAAACTTTTTAAAGGCGTAGACGAATTAGTCAGGAATTTCAAAATGTGAAGATGAGGTAAAATCAAAACTATTAATATAAAAAAATCAATATGTCTTCTCGCTAGATTTTTTGCTAAATAATTTCAAAGTTATTCTTTTATATTGCTACAATGTTGCGTTTACGGCGTTATTTATATCTACAACGTCATTTTGTTGAACGTAGTCAGGTTTACAGTACGAATATAAATATCTTGACCTTTGGAATATGCAAGATTTAAAAGGAGACATACATGTAGATACAGAAATTAATTTTATTCATCATTTAATTTATTGCGGAGACATATTAGGATGACCAGAAACTTATTTTCACTAGTATTGTGAAATTCATATTCTGATCACAAAGTCCGAATGAACGGTATAAACATCGTGCATGAGAATTAACATACAGCGAAAACAACGCGAGTGATAAAATATTAGAACCTGTGTTTTTAGGAAATTTATGGTAGATAGGATTTCAGGCATTACACAAAAACCTGATCACTTTATTCGAAAACGGTAAGAAAAACATCCCGATACTGAGAAAATAAGCGGCCGGGGGGGGGGGGGGGGGGGGCTGTTACCTATCCACAATGTTCTTTCTATATTAGTCGCAAGCTAAAGTATATGGTCCTAAATCTCAGACATTTGTTAATTTCAAATTCTTTGCATCAAATTTCAATACGCAAAATGTAAAACATTTGCATTCAGCTTTTACACGTTGAGCTTTTGTTACTTTTGTTATTACAAAAATATATAGAAAAAAAGATACTTGTAAATTGTTTAGAGTGTCTTATAGGTCTTACAGTCCAGGATTTTGAATAAATTTGATTTTTAAATGCATTTCACGATCTATTAGCCAGCACAACAAGGCGAATACACGACATTCAAATGCAGAACAACCAAACAATAATGATAATGATGATGATAATTTTGAAAAACCCCGGAAAATACATGTAATTAAATTAAACCCGATTTTAGTGATAATGATTGATTCCATCCTGAAAAGTATACGTACATTTTCGTCCCGGGTTTGATTGGAAGTCATGATGCAATACGCATGTTCCCCTGAGTTTCGAATATTATAACATGCGCACATACAACCCCTCAAGTTTTCCGTTAAGCAATTTTTATTCATGATAACTTTTTTTCTGCATACCATAACTTTCACGTTGATTTATTCTGATTGACTTTTAACAGTTTAGTGTTATACTTACAATATACAGTATTCCTTTCAATTTGTAAAGTATTTAATTAGTCCTATGACATTACATATAATCACACCAGAATTCAGACTGAAATTTAATTATAAAACATGTACGAGGTTACCTACAATAGCATGTACTTTGTATTATTAATCTACTTGATTCGTACAGACTTGAAGTCATTTGCAGAGAATTAAACGGGAAACAACGTAACGTTGCCTTTGTGACGTAACCGACGTCATAATCAAATGTGCACAAAACAACCGCTCGAATCGTCGAATTTGTGTACCAAAACTGATGACAAAAGCAAACCCGCGACCTACCTTAATGCTGTATAATAGTTATTATTTTAAACTTATGCTTGATAATCGTTATCTCTCATTTCACTATACGGTGTCAATACCTTATCACCGCCGATTAGATAGTCACAACAATATAAGGCCGTCTTTAATATACTGTTTGGTTGTCCTCTCCCGACCGACTGGCCGAAAAAAGGTAGGATTTAAAAAAATCAACCTTTAGGAATAAAGATATATTTTCTCCTGAATGTTTCATTCCCGCAATACATATATGTGGAAATTTTCTGAAGAAAAAAAGATTTTCAGACTTACCTAAAGACCCAATTTTTACCCTGAGTCGAGAGAGGACAGGCAAACATTATTTAAAAGATAAACCAATCAATGCAAAATAATTTGGCCAGAATACTCACAACAAGCAATCAATGTGCAAAACACCTGTCCACTCTCATTGCAGCCACAAGTGTTGTATCCGTCACCGGCAGGAAAGCTTTGTCCAATAGCATAGTACCGTCCATTGTAAAAGCAGCCTCCTTTCAAATAGAAAAGAAATTTAATTTTAGTTTTTAAAAAGTTTCCAATAACATTTAATATATTCCATTTCAATAAATACAAAATAAAGTACATTTTAATTTTCCTTAACAAGTCTTTAAATGCAATTTTAAACTTATTTAAATTATAAAATCTTCATTTTCCGTCGTTCATATCAAATTTTAAATCCAAGATATCTTAAGGTTAGCATGCGATTAAACTACATGTATTTTTTTTTTACTTTTCATATCCAATTCTAATTCAAGTTCCTAATAAACCTAATAAATAAGGAAGGGACTATACTGATAGGAATCTCATTATGAATTTAAAGAATCAACGTTATATATATATATATATATTTCTCTCAAGGGAGGTAAATCCACTTTGTTCTTTATACCTGGCTGTGGACCTACTCCGTATAATGGCCGTACACAGGAAGTCTCACAACCACAGTCAACTGGGCAACACTTTGAATCTAAAACATATAAATTGGAGTCGTAGAAAACATTATGGATTTATTTTTTTTATGCATTTAATCCCTGATAGCAACAAAATAATGAAATAGTATGCATAACAGATGTGTTGGTGTTGAATACCATGTATATTTAGGTACATAAATCCAATTTATTACTATTAGCATAAAGTGTGGGATGTGTCCTAATTTTTGACATTGAATTTTGGTAGGGGTTATCTCCTTCTATTTTTTATAATTAAAAAAAAAATTAACCTGGCAAGAAATTATTTTAAAATGTCATTCTATTTCTAATGTTTCATTGCATCTTTCTCTCAGGAATTTTTTTTCAGTTTCAAAGCGCATTAATTTAATTTCAGAATATTATATACTTGATGGACATCTAAGGTTAAAAATAAGGTTCTGTTAGAAATGGAAGTCCTTAGTTGAATTAATTATTTCTTTATTGATGAATGATGAAATGAATTGCTGTTTCTTGATTGATTATTTGATTAACAAGTCGGTTAAATTAATAATTAATTAACATGTATGCATGATAATTTTAAACTTATTTGAAATACTTTTTAAATTATGAGTAAGTGCATGTACAGTCATCATAATAAAGAAAGAAATAAAGGACTGTGCGAAGTTTGGATTAAACCCTGAGAGAGGTGATCGATTTATTTCATTTAAGGCATATTCGAGAAAAGTCCTCTCATATAGATACGTCACCACATGAAGGGTGAAGGGCTCCAAATTCAGATCTTTACCATTAAGCAGTGATGGATCTTTATCTTGCCAAAGCCTCTTTCGGTTTTTAAGGTCTTACCCGAAGGACTCGTAACAGCTGCTACTTATTTTGTCAACTTATTTCAGTCGAAGCGTGATTCGAACACGCCGTCCGACTGAACTACCATTACGGTGATCTTATAAGTAGCGAGAAAAAAGACAAAAGGTTTCAATGCTGCAATAACAGAGTGACACTTTAAGGGTTTATATTATCGAAGTGAAACGTTTTCATATTTCAATTAAAGGCAAGACGTGTATTTTGAACCTTATCAAGAGAACAGAGAAAGTGGATAATTTCAATACCTCCAAATCAAGAATTAGTTGCCAGTATATGTTTTAAAAGCACAAAGATATTCCACAGAATGTGTTTGACATACGGACCTGTATGTTTGAAAGAATGTTCATGACCTTACATGAGACGCAAAATTACGTTTGTTTTCTCTAATGCATTATTCTTAGGAATTTATCATTACATCTCTGAAACTGAGACTGCTATTTTTTAATTTTTAAAGCTTTTCTTACATTACATAAAATTGCGCTAGATGCACCGACTTGTGTCATACCAATTATAAGAACGTTGTCAACTGAATTTTCCGTTTACTAAATCAGTAGATAGGGCTCACTATCGGTCAACAGAAGACTTACTCCTCTAAGGCCCCTGATCCTATCGATTTCCAGGGGTGTGTATTTATGTCCTTGTCACACATTTGTATTGTTTGAAGTTTGAAAGATATCAATAACTGTAGGTTAGTTCACACTTTTTCATGTTTCCTAAAAATACCACTGTTTGAACTTTTGCCGAGTTTTTTGCAGTCTTTTCTATGATAATTACTTGGTTGCATTTCAACATAAATGGAACATTCCTGAAGAAACGTTAAGCAAACAATAAATGGAAACCAATAAATCAAAGAAAAAAAGTTCACTAGATCTCACGGTATAAGCAATCCCTGTCACGTGTACATTCTCCTCCAATATAAGGACAATCAAATCTACTTCTGCAGTAAATCGGGGGGCATCGTCCGGGTTTTTCAGCCGGGAATCTCTGACATATACCAAGGGAGACAACAATCACAAGTACCTGTAGGTATTATGTTTGTAGCTTTTAATGATATTTATAAGAATCGTACGAATGAAATATTATCAATAATGATAATAATGATAAAGATGCTTATGTCTACGAAAAAAAAATTACGGAAGCCGGGGGGTCCAAGGAAGATCTATTTTATCTAGCGGCCTAATTTGTTCCTTATTAATAATCCTGTTTATGAGAAAAAAAATACATAATGGACATGGTATACATTGGAGCAGAATACTGTCTGGGTGCTTGTGAAGTTCCTTGAAATTTGCATTACGAATGTGATAAGGCTAAGGATATTTGTTTCCATGAACTAACAAAAACGCATAAGAGATATATTTATTATTCAGAGAAAGTTTTGATTTATTTTCGTATACATATTTAGTTCCCAAGATATGGTGTTCTCACTTCAGATTTTGACGTCATGCAAACTATGACGTCATTGTTCTTGACCACTTAACGAAATACCATTTTACCATACTTTAATTAAACGGTTTAGGCGCAAGGAATTTTTCCTATTTAATTTTACATATAAATTGTATTATTAATATATACAATTTTACTTATAATTCTAACATTGTGAACATTTCAAAGAAAATAAAAAAAAAATCTGAGCGGTTAAACCCCAGGCACTTGTTTCGGTTATACATTTAACCAAAAGTATAATAACTCCTGGTATCAAACTCTAAATTACATGGGGTACCCCTTCCCCCAGAATCGAACCAATTTACTCTTTTTGAGGAATTTTACTGGTAAGCTGTTTAAACCTATGTTTTTCTTAAATCATCTACGCAACGATACATGACATTATTGTCTTTATAGTCTTCTATCTCCGTAAATAGCGTCTATACTCTCCTAGGTGAGTTGAAATGTCAAATTCAACTATGATATGGTATGTGCAAATCCTGGCCAAAGAACAGACTTAAAAAATGAGTGGGTTTGAAATTTCAATTCCATTGTTTAAATATTGCAGTGAATAAATTGAATTTGTTTACATATGATTTTCCCTGAAAACATTACGATGTTAATTCGATGTAATTTTAGAAGAAAAAAATATCCATTCAAACTTTCTGCTTTGATAATTAATCTTCAATTATTTTTCTTCATAAGATTAAGTCCCTTTGCTTTCATTTCTCTTATCCCATTTCAGAAAAAAAACCTCCAGTTTAAGAAATTACGAGCAGTTTGGGTGGTCTTTTGTATGTTGTATTTTTATAGGGCTATTCTTTATATTCCAAACTTAGCTTAGAAAAAAAGGCGAAATTATTTGTGAACCCTTTATTACGGAAGCGTATTAGTGCCACATAGACATTTTATTTTTCTTTTATTTCTACAATTTAAAGTGTAAAATTTACACTTTTTAAGTGTAAAGAACTTTAATCTGTAGAATTTACACTTCAATCTGTACATCTTACACATTAATCTGCAAATCTCATACATCAATCTGTAAAATTAACACTTAAATTTGTAAAATGTACATTTTAAAGTGTAAAAATACAGTTTAAAGTGTAAAAGTTACATTTTAAAGTATAAAATTTACAGATTAAAGTGTAAAATTACAGATTAAAGTGTAGAAATAAAAAGAAAAATAAAGTGTCCAAATAGTAATAATACGCTTCCGTACTTTATAGCTTAATTCGTAGACCACGGGACATGTAAGCCAGAAGCCTGAGGTTTAATCTCATGCAGAGGCACATAAATGCCCAATAGGATAGTGAGTTAATCACGGATTCCTACTAGCTTGGGCTAGTGGGTAACCTTTTATCTCAATCAGTAAAGTACTGGACTGACAAGTCCGAGGCCCCGAATTCATAAAAGTCTTTGTTACATAAAATTAAATTTTAAACGCCGTTCAAGAAAATGTGGTCTAAATAAGCTTATATAATTAAATTTACTTTTCCACAGTTATTACTTTCTTTTGGAATATGCAAAGACAAATCGTACTTGTCGAATAGAACACAGTGTATTAGATGGAATGGTACTCAGTCAGAAAAATTAGACATAACTATAGGCGTTCCTCAAGGATCAATACATGGGCCATTGTTTTTCATCCTTTATGTCAATGACTACCCAGACTGCAGCTCACATGTATGCTGATGATACAACTCAGGATGTCTCAGATAAGAGTATCAATGTTATTGAAAATAAATTACATAGCGATCTTATCAATACGCTAGATTGGATGGAGAAAAACAAGTTAACAATCAATCTTAAAAAAAACACAATGCATGTTAATTGGTACGGAACAAAGATTAAGAACTGTAGGAATTTATGTATTAAAGTGGGTATTATTGTGATTGAAAATGTATCTTGTGCAAAACTACTTGGTGTTTACATCGATAGGTGTCTTACATGGTCTGAACACGTTGAAATTTTAACGAAAAAACTTGCTTCCAAAATAGGTGTTTTGTCTAGATTAAGATAACTCATGTCCTCAGAGTTATTGTTGAAAATTTTTAATACAATTGTTTTTCCCCATTTTAATTATTGTTGTACTGTTTGGGGCAATATGAAAAACAAAGAAGGTCTTAGCAAACTATGTAAACTCCAAAAGCGAGCTGCTAGAGTGATTTTAATGACTACATTTTATACACCTACATCGGAAATGTTTCAACAACTGAGATGGATGCCAATTGATGATTATTTTACGTATAGAACTGTCCTCCTTTTTTTAAAATCTTAAACGGATTAACTCCAGATTATTTAGATGTTTTTATGTTTGTACATAAAATAAACAACAGATCAACAAGATTGAGTCAAAGCAATACATTGTATATTCCGAGGGCAAAAACAGAATATTTTAGAAGATCTTTTACAATTTACGGTTCCCAGCTATGGAATAAATTGCCAGAGTTTTTTAAAGAATTGTCCATCATTGCAAAGTTTTAAATCAGCATATATAAGAAATTATTTCCAATCTACAAACTAAACTGTCAATCACTTAGATTACACGTCTGATGTTATTTAGACGCAGCTTCGACAAACCATGTGTAAATATTGATTTTCATATTCTACTCCCTCTATATTTATATGTTTCTGTACATAATCTTCTGTCTGCATAAATGTTTTCAGGACCACAATGTGAATTAATTGTTAACTAATAGTGCCATCCTGTATAAATAAAGGATATTACTATTATTATTACAGTCAAATTTCCTGTTGTATATAATAGGCTTAAGGCTCTTTACTCCCTTGTAAACCGCCCTAGCTGTTTAATAAGCTTACCTCAAGTAATTATAGCAGATATTTGCGTATCATAGCAAACTTTAAACTGCATAAAGTGATTAATGTTAACGGTTATAGAATACTGCATAAGTCGAATAAAAATGACGTCAAAGTAAATTTATACTATGATTGCAAAGACTAAACAATAAAATTATGAATACGCCACGAAACGTATTTATACTCAAATTCAAAATTCCCCAGTTAGTTTATTTTATTTAAGAAAGACAGTTGCAAATTTAAATATGCGTATATTTTTCTTGACAAAATTCAAAATACCACTTTACTTACCAAGAAGTACAGATGTCCTTGTATTTTATTCTTGATAATAAATGTTTTAGGATATTGCAAGGTTGCTATTATATAGAATTTGAGACTTATTTGCATAAAATATTTAATTCATATCATGATTGAAATCATTAATCAGTTTCCTTTGGTTCCTTCCAGTCCTTTGAAAATAAGAAAAATGTATCATTTATTTCTGTTCATAATAATATGCAACTGCGAACTTATATAATACATGACCATGTTTGTTATTCAGTATGCTATTGGAACGTCTGACACGAACGACCTGCCTAAAATTTCGAATAGTGCGACTTACATATTTTTTATTGGCATCCAAAATGATATTTTATGCATAAAAATAAATCATTTAATAAATGAATAAATAATGACAATTGTATTTCTTTATCTTGATCTGTAAAAATATTACGTAACAATTTGTGTTTGATGTTTTAAAATCAACAAACATTACAGATTTGCAAACAGGAAAAACAGGCGGACCTAAGGAAATACCATCATGAGAGATCATGTTTTCCCAAAGTTCAATTAATCGAATTGTGATTGGAGCAATTTTTCGTATTTTTTGAACATTTTCTTTTAATTGCATTTTTTGTTTTTTTTTTTTTTTTGGATTTTTATTTAATTATATTTTTAATGTATAAATTGTAGTGATTAAATACATTGTTTCAATATTTTTCATTCTTAATTTTGTTCTTAATGGTAACAAGCCGTTGAAGATATTTCATTTACAATCATCACTGAATGAAATTGCCATTCTTTTAAGCCTGAGAAGATTGATATCCTTAGTAACAGTAAATGAATGAGAGCATTTTTATCGTTTGAAATGCGCAGGTTTATTCTATTTCTATTCTTGTAAATGTTCTTTTTACGTTTTGGATTCAAACGTAAAGACAGTATATCTCAAACTATAAAACAGCTTACTCAGTTGAAATTTACTTTTTAAAAATTTTCTATTCCACAGTGTAAGCAATGATACATCTTTAGGTATTAATTCCATTTTCTAACAAGAGACCTAGCATTATGCAACAAATTTTTAAATTTGACTTTTGTTTAAAGCCAGAGTCCATGACATTCAAAATTTTGAAAGAGACATTATTCGTTATCATTATTTTCCACTTAGCACGTTTATTATTGTTACCCAATGCCCATAAGCAAAGTAAGTGAACAAAATGCATTTCTTAAACCAATAATATTCAGCAATAATCAGAAGTGCCCTCAGAAACACCTGACTCTAGGTCCACGCCATTCACAATTCTGGAAAAAGTACCTTTGCTCATCATAAATGATTGATTATTACCACGGAGCAGTTTTTAAAGCATCCATTCATTTTCAGCATAATAATTAGAGCCCCCGCCCTCTATGTTCCGGGGGCCATGAAATTAACAATTCTAAAAGAAGGGCCCTAGCTAATCATAGCTATATAGTAGAATGATCCATGCTCAGCATAACTATGTATATAGTTAGTTTATTTGATAAAAATATGATATTGTCACCAAATACAATTTATCACTAAGTTAAATGCTGACTGGCATTTTTCATACAAATTGTTAGTCCATTATTTCAACACTGAATTGACCACGGATTTTTCCGTTGTTTCCAGTCATGACAATGAGCACATGCATGGCGGGTGTGACCGGTCTGCAGGGGATGCTTACTCCTCCATGGCACCTGATGTTTTAGTGGTCCATGTTTGCTCTGCTCCTCTTTTGTATTGTTATATTGAATTTGATATTGAATACTGTTCGTTATCTACATATCCTTCATCTGAATATCCTTATTATACCAAAAAACTATTCTCCGCGATAAATTAAAGTCCAGGCTTTTTGAAATCATTGACAACTGCTTTTTCAATAAAATAAAAACTCGTAAAGAAGATGAGGGATAAGGCGGGCAGAATGCTTATAGCGCCAGATATTAAGAAATCAAATTTGATATGTAAATTGAGCATTTTAATTCACTTCTTATTATTGAAATTTATGAAATTATGAGGAAAAAAAATTCTGAGAGAAAATATATCTCTATAAAAACTTATAAAAAATATTAGATAGTATACGTGGGATTCGAACCCCAGCACTAAAATACCGAAGTATCATACTGCTTTGAGACTACCGCGCTAACCACTAAGCTACATGGCTCATGATTAGGGGCATTTAAATCATGTTTATGATATTACCCTGACTAAATGGACTTGAAGTATTTCTCGGAAAGATGCGAATGCTTTGTCATGAAAGTGTACTTTTAAGGTATAGTGGGTCTCCGCTCCATTTTTTGCAAACAAAATATATTAATTTTGTCCCATACTTTTACGATTATTTTTCAAAAAATGAAGCGTAGATCAACTCATATTGTATTTTTTTTTAAGTATGAAAAAATTATCGTTTTTGTCCATTTAAGTGTGTGTATGCTTTTTCATAGGCAAATATTTTCAGTCTTTGGGAGATTTTTGTAAATTATAGAGATTTTACATTAAGTATACTTTTATATTAGATGAAATATGAAATAAAACTTGTATATGATTGAGATCGAAATTTTCACTTCTTATCTGTCGCGCTATAAGCATTTTTTCCGCCTTATCCCCCATCTTCTTTGGTTACCTGGTCACTGGCCATTTTCAAAATTATTTTGTGAAAAACATTCTGTGTAGTTTTTGGAGACCAGGCATTCCAACAATCTATTGGAATTTCCATGGGAACCACCTGCGTTTCGTTATTAGCAGACCTATTTAATAATCATATGAAGCAGCATTCGTGCAAAATCTTATACGAGAAAAGAAGAAAACACTTGCTGTGGCCTTCAATTTGACATTCAGATATATCGACGACGTATTGTCAATTAATAATCGTCATTTCCATTCATAAGTCGATACGATATATCCTGGTGAGATTGAGATAAAAGATACCACAGAGTCTGACACAACTGTTACATATTTGGATACATTACTTAAAAAAGACGTTGATGACAATCTTACGACAAAGCTCTGTGATACAGGTGATGACTTTAACTTTTCTATCGTCAACTTCTCTTACTTATGCAGCAACATACATTTATCACCTGCATACACAGTTTATGTATCTCAGTTGATTCGATAAGGAATAGTAATGACAATGTCTATATTGTTGGAAATCCGTGCAGTCCACAGAGTAACAATGTAAATATGATTGGACTTTTTAAACATATACAGGGAGGTAAGCGTTGTCATGGGCATCGGTCTTACAATATTTTTTTAATAATCTTTTGATTCATTACTACCTTATGTAAATCAACAGTTAGGTCTTCATCATATTTACGCCAAAGTTTACTCTTTCCTTTTAAAAATTTTAAATATTCATCTAGAAAAAATCAATGAAAACCCATTGTTCGATCACCCTTAATCACAAAAGGGTTCAGTCTTATATTCCACCATATTTCAAGAAAAAAACTACATATTGCATTCCCTACAAATATACATCGACCATTGCTTTAAAACATTTTATTTACAAAAAACTTTACATAGCCTAGAAATCGAGTATTTGAAACAGGATCCTCCTTCCTGTTAAAAGGCATGATCTTCTTCACCCTATAACTATAGTCCCGCTGGACATCTTCTTATAGGTGACTTAAATATAGTTAATAATGAGGTTTGATCACTTATTTTAAAAGGGCCTAAATATAGGGAACCAGTATTCTTCAACTGGCGTCGAAATTTCAAAAAAAATATTGATACTGTTGAAGATTACGCCAGGCGATAGGCCAGATATAAAAACAAGACGTTGACATTTTTGTCAGAATGAATTAAATGTATCAGATCCATGAAAAAATCGCTAATTAAAAGATTGAGGGGCAATGTGAAATATATCTACTCTCTATATTCAATAATCCAAAAGTAAAAAAAAGAAATAGATACTCGGTAGATCACATGATCAGAACGTACTGGTCCCAGCTGACAAAGCAGGTAACAGCATTGTCTCTGTTTGTCAGGCTCACTATATAAATTGCATTTTATAAAAACATGGATTTACCTGTAATTGACAAATTGGTAAGTTTTAATCCAACTTATACTCATAGTTCCATTTCTAAGGAGGAAATTCTTCAAAACTATATGTCAGTTTTAAACATCTTAATATCCCAAAGAACCAAAATGATGTTGAAAAACCATATAAATATTGGATTATGTATATGTAACTCTATAAGAATCCTTAAAAACACAGATACAAGGCGGGTTCCAGTAAATGATCAACCAAGGAGAAACTTCAAGAGTACTGTGCATATATTTTATATATAAAAGAATACTTGTAAATCAGAAGTGGATACTTTAAAATTCCAAAAAAATTTTGGAAAATTTTAAACCACAAGATTTCACCAAAATCAACAGCTTTAAAACGTACGACTTTTCAACTTTATACACAACCATTCCCCACGAGAAAATAATGTCTTGGCTTCTCGATGTCATTGACAACTGTTTTTTTTTTAATAAAAATGGAGCTCGTAAATTTACTGAACTTGTCATGGGTCATTTACAACATTGTTTTGTTAAAATAAACATTCATTCTGATTGTACACAGAAAAATACTCTGAAGTAGAAATTAAAAAGACCTTAAGTTCCCGATTCAAATTTCTATGTTTTTTTGGGGGGACGCCAAGTCCTACAACTATCTTTTGGAATTCCCATGAGAACCGATTGCGACCCGTATTTAGCAGACCTATTTCTGTATACATATGAAGCAGAATTCTTGCAAAATCGTTTGCGTAAAAAGATGAAAACACTTGCAGTGTTAATGTTTGATGATTATTAACATTACATCAAGTTGTAATTGTTTATTATTTTGTCGTGGTGCATACAGGACTTTAAATATACACTGACTGTAACTTTTTCATTAATTGTTTTGTTGTTTATGCCCCAGGATCGAAATATCCCTGCAGTATATTATTTTACCTTGTCTGTTTGTCTGTTTTTTTCTGTCTGCCTGTAGTTAACATTAGCCTTGCCCATGCCTATTGACTGGGTGGGGCTATGGCTTTAATATTTCTTGGTTGCATTCCTTGTGGCACGACCTTTGTTTGGGAACCACCAAATCTGACACCTTGACCTTCGGAGTTTGACGTACTTTTACAAAAAATATCACTTATTAACCTAAGTTGTTATTAATGGAGCTTGACCTAACATACTTTACATGTGTATTTATTTTGACAATACCTTTCTGGTGGTATAAGTATTTTTGACTCTTTGTCCTTAACCTAAGGATTTGACCCACATTTTTAAACTTTTAACTTTGTCATAACTTTTGAATAGTCAGGGTTTTTATATTTCACATGTGTATTCCTAATAACAAGAACTTCCATTCGGAACCAGCGATTTTAACCTTTTGACTTTGACCTTTGTAGTTTGACATGTATTTGAGAGAATTCAATCCTCTCCATAGGCTGCCATACTGGGACATCAGTGTTTCAAAAGCACGTCTTGTTTTTTTTTTTTTTATTTTTTTTTTCTTGTGCTTTTTCAGGTCAGTCAACAAACAGTTTATCATGTAACGTGTTTTACATAAAAATAAGCAACAATTTGAAATGGCTTAGATTTCATTAGCATAACTTGTAGTTAAGGATGTATAAGGATCTTTTGAAGATGCCTTAATAGTGGCTTAAAAGTTTGGACAAGCAGATGAAAGCTAGAAATTAAAGATGGCTTAAACAAACCTTTTTCTATCCATTTTCAACGGTTTCAAAAGAATGCTTAAAGATGGTTTCGTTTTGTGTTTTAGATCTCATGAATTTATAGTTCTTGTGATGTAACTTAATTTTTATTGTACTTCAATTTAGTTATTTAATCTACAAATATTCCTTCCTTCAATCAACTGGTATATTCACCTCACCAATCTGCAAAAGAAAAGAAAATGAAATGATATTAGTCGTCGGTTGACACTGACCCTCAGAAGCAGTTATTAATTTTACAAATAGATTACGAAAGGACAACTGAATTTGAAAAACGCATAAGGCACATCGACGACGTATTGTCAATTAGCAATGACATTCCAATTCCTACGTCGATACGATATATCCTGGTGAACTTGAGATAAAAGATACCAAAGCGTCTGACACATCTTTTTCATACTTGGATATTCTACTTGAAAAAGACGTAAATGGTAATCTAACAACCAAACTAAATGATAAACGTGATGACTTTAACTTTTCTATCGTCAACTTCCCTTACCAATGCAGCAATATACCTTCATCACCTGCATACGGAGTCTATAATACATCCATTGATTCGATACGCAAGAGCATTCTCTACGTATGAACAATTTCTATAACGAAGTAAATTATTGACAAGCAAGTTGATGAAACAAGAATATCAACAGTCTCGTTTAAAGTCATCATTTCGTAACAATGACCTTGTCAGCAAATACAATTTATCATTGAGACAAATGCTGACTGACGCTTTTCATACCAATTGTTAGTACATTATTTATACAATGAATGGCGAGACTAATTTTTACGTTATTTCCCGATCATGACAAGGAGAATACGCCGGGTGTGACCGGTCAGCAGGGGATGCTCACTCCTCCATGGCACCTGATCCTACCTCTGATGTTTCGGAGCTCTGTGTTGCTCTGCTCCTATTTTGTATTGTTAAATGGATTTTGATATTGAATGATGTTCGTTTTCTTTTTATCCTTCTTCTGCAAAAGCCAACTTTTTTTCCTTACAATAACGATATTAGTTTGGCGGAAATAAACCTTGAATTATATTTTAAACATAAATATTTATGAAAAAACTCACCATTATAGTTTTACAAAGATAAGCGGACTAAGATATTTAAATTTTATAAGGTATAACCTACTATGAAATGAAATATTATTCAGTAAACTCTATCCCGCTGCGGTGAGCCGAGGAAATCATGGACATTTAAAATATGAATATATCATACACATTATTCTTGCAGATCACACGCCAACGACGTTGATCTTCGTCATTGTCAGTCGTTAAATCATCTCCTCTTATGCAGCACCAGAATAATTTTTTTTGTTGTAGTTATACTTTAACTAGTCTCTACCGCAAACCATTTAAAATGCTTTTTTATTTCTTTTTTTTTGGGGGGGGGGGTCTAATTTAGACTTTGTTCAATCACCTTTCTTAGTGCACTTGTGTAAAGTTTATTGTCTCATGTACCTTGTACAGTCCGTGTCATCGAAAGTTTCTAAATACGAGTAGTTAATTGACCTACAACTCTTGAAAGACATAATCTAGTCAACTAACTTCTGACCGGTCGCAATACCTTGTTCTCTGACATTTGCTCCATTATTGGTTAGTATTTAATGCATTTGATTATGATCAGTATTCGTTTTATTAATGTTCCTTTTCGTAGGTACAATTTTGACTGACATGATTCATACCAATTGCATTGCTAAGCCTTTGTTTTTAAACTTAATTGACTACTGATAATTTTGTCTCCCGGATTAATACATAGGGAACACGACAAGTGTGGCTATTCTGCAGATGCTGACTCCTCCATGGCACCTGATCCCACCTCTGGAATTCCTAAGGAGTGAGTGTTTTATACATATATAGATATCGCTCTTAATTATTTTTTTGTCATCGATTACTGTTTGTTACCTTTTTAATTTACATTATAGCGATTTTTTGTATCTATCCTATGTATTGTAATGTATTGTACTATATTGTGCATCGATTTACTCACCTCGCCTTCCACAGCTCCGGTAACATTCGTCTATTGTTCTAAAGTTGTTAAAGTTACCGCCACAGCCTCCATAGATGAACATTTCACACCGATTGGTTAAACTGTTGTACCACCATCTTGGAAAATAAGCGTAGCATGTTCCTAGTAATTTTGGCAATGAGCAAACACCACCTGAAATAAATTTCAATACATTCATTTCGTGTATTACCAGAATGTAATGGAACAAACATCATCTTGAATTAATATCAAAACATTAATTTCATGTATTACTTGAATAGAGTGGTGCCTTTTGGAAACACGAAAAGTGTCAAAATTTATATGGTGTTCTCCTATTTTTTCTGCTTTCAATTTCTCTTTCTTTTTTATCATCTTGAAATATGAAATACCTTTCTATTTTTTAGATTTCTTTAATAGGTATCTGTTCAAATGAAAAAAAAGAAAGATATCAATTTAATTGTTTATAATAGGAATAGTGATACAGTATTCTAGCCACTTTTTTATATCTTTTATATTTAAGAGCCATTCTATTGAATGAGTTACAATTTTATACAGGAGCTGTGGTACACATAGTCTAAGAATTTCATCAAACTCACTATGATAAAAGTCTTTGATACCTTAATCAGACAAAAATTGGTTTCTTTGTGTTACGCTTACCTTGGCATCATGTCAAGGTGTAGATAACTTCATTTTTTAAAATATTTAGAGCTGTATTGTTAGCATTTAGACTTAGAATTTAAGAAATATTACTTTGATAATACCTACGACAACCTATATATGTACACCAGACTTCACCATTCTCTGAGCACCCACATGTATTGCACCCGTCGTCAGCGGGAAATCTTCCAATCGCAACAAATCGGCCATTATACATGCAGCCTCCTTTAATTCAAACAACAATGGCTATTAGGAACAATTGCATTGCAAATACATGTAACTTACTTTTTATTTTTTAAGGTTGAAGGGACGATTGTTAACAGATATATTTTATATATTTCATTACATCATTTAATTTTTAGGTAGAAATTTTAAGAAAAATGGGTATAGTAAGGATATTGAAAAAAGAAACTTTTAAAATGGGGCATTTGGACAGGAGATTCTACTGATGAATCTGACACTGTATGATTTATCTCTTTTTTACCAGATGTTCAGTCCACCTTAAGATTCATTACTGTACGGTTTATCTATTTTCATCGCATGGGCCGCCCAACTCAAGGATAATCAAAGTAGGAGTTATCTTTTTTCTATCGAATGGTCAAGTCGCCCGCGTGGCGCAGTGGTTAGAGCGTCTGCTCTAGAGTCGCGAAGAAAGAAGTCAATCCTTACGTCGCGGGTTCGAATCCCACTGTGGGACGTGGAGACCGGTCCTTCGGATGAGACTGTATAAACCGAAGCCCCGCCCTGAGTGCCGAGCATAGGACAAAATTTGTAGCCCTCCACCGTCAAGTGGTGGCGTCTCCATATGAGTGAAAAATTCTCGAGAGGGACGTTAAACAACATACAATCAATCAATCAATCAATCGAATGGTCAGAAGACCTTAAGGATAATCAATGGTCGATTTATCTCGTTTTTATCGATTGGGCAGCCCACCTTAAGGATAATACCTGGTTGTGATCCGGGCCCGTACACGGGTCGTACACAGGAAGTTCTACAACCACAGCCAAAGGAACAACACTTCAAATCTGAAATCAAACAAGTACAAACTTTTCCAAAAAATCTTCAATCATCTTATACAGGAAATATACATATATCAGTTCATTTTATTCCTAATCACCACAGTCTATGTTCTGTACATATACTTTACATATTCCAACAATTTTTATAGGCACTAGCCCTATCATTCAAAAATACGAGAAAACAAGATGTGTTTGTGAAGCACTGATGGTTTTGTATGACAAAAATGTGAAGATTAAAATTTTTTAACATGCAAATTTTATATATCGGTAATCAAGGCAGGGTCTCCTAACTTGAAATACAAATGTTGAATATGAAAACCCTATCAGCTTCTGTTATCAAGTATAACCTATACCTATCTCTTACCGTTCAAAAGTTATTGCCAAGATTAATGTTTTCTCATAAGTCCAGAAATTCATGGTTAAGGTCAAAAGGTCAAGTTTATAGGTATGTAGTAAACGGCCTTGCCACAAAGAATAAATATGTGATGTATGGAAGCCTTAGCCCTGATTGTTCAAAAGTTAGGGCCTAGGTTAAAAAAATTAAAGTAGGTCAAACTCCAAGGTCAAGGTTAAAAGGTCATATTTGATGGTATCCAAAGAAAAGTCTTGTCAGTTGAAATACACATGTGAAATATTGAAAGTCATAGCTCCACTAAATCAAAAGTTATAGGCAAGATTAAAGTTTTTGCGGACAAACAGACAAACAGAGGGACAGCAAAGACGGACACTACAAAAACTATATACCTCAGGTACTTCGTTTACGGTAGCATAAGAAATAGACTAAAAATAGCAATTTTTTTGCAGCGAAATGAATATTCTGTAATTAATAAGAATATTTATTTCGGTTTCTTTTGTTCGTTTAAAAATGTCCATTGTTTTGAAATAAAACATCTTGAAAAAATATTCAGTCATGCGAAAAATGTGACATCTTACCTTGCCAACAGTCACTGTCACGTGTACATTGGGTTTGACCAGGTGGACAGTCACATGTTGTTATGACGTCATTCCGAGGGCACCGTCCTGGCTTCTCCCCTGGGAATCTCTGGCACGTGACAAGGGCAATAACAAAAACCTGTGTAAAGGATAAACGTTTAATATATCTAATAGTTTTGAAAAAAAAAACAACTTGTTGTACATGTAATTAGAGTTGCAAATCCATACGAAGCAGTGAATCTAGACAAAAATTTAAAACTAAAATAAATAATTGCAAATAGTCATTTTCTCTATCATATAAAAGGTAAAGATTACAAACATGTTCATTTCGAGAAATCTATAAAACAAACAATTATGTGAAAAGCACATAAATCACAGACTTCTGGAAATCTAAGAGGAGGAGTCAGATGCCAGGGAGAAAAAAGTATCCCCTGTTGACCGGTCAAACCCTTCGTAAGCCCTATTTATTGATCAGTTGAACAGAAATTCCATTTTCAAATCAAGTCTAAATGCATAACAACAATTGTGCAGTTTATTCAAAATTTGTTTAAACAAATATGTCTTATCTTTCGTGATAACAGTTAAAATATACATTAACTTACAAAAAAGAAGTTAAAATGTCCCTTCAACTGTAGCATATTGACGAGTGCCTGGGATATTACAGAGCTCCTCTTTTATAGACTTTGCGACTTATCTGCATAGAATATTTAATTCATACTATGTCGTCCAAAATCATTCATCAGTTTCCGTAGGGTTTTACCTGATCCTAAAGGATAAAGGAGTTTGTATCATTTCTTTCTGTGAATAATAAGATGCAACTACGAACTTATATAATACTTGACCGAGATTGTCAATCATCTGGCTATTTTTTGATATATATTGACATGTTACAAATTTTAATAGCGCCAGCAAAAAAGAATTTACGAATGAAAATATGGAGATAACGAGTGGTATTTAAGCGCAAAATTCTATAAAACACTACAGAATTGGAGCAGTATAAATAAGGATGTCCAAAACTCCAAGGTGTTTTGAATTTTTAGCAGGCCCTTAATTTTTTTATAACTGTTTTAATTTTGCACTTTAATGGCATGCTTCTGTTGAAGGAGATTCACCTCTTAGCTAATGAGCAATATAGGTCTGGAAAATTCTCCATCATTTTTAAGTTTTAACATCAATTCTGGATTCAATAAATCAAATTAAACTATATCCAATGAAATTTCCGCGATTTAATTTATTTTGAAAAGAAGCATTGAAGCGAAAACGTTGAAGATGTGATTTATTATTTAGACACATGCAATACGGTTATATGAAATCTTTAAATATAAGTATCCAACCATGTTAACTTGTGCTTTCTCAAGAGGACATGTTTAGCATATCAGAAAATAAAATGCAAACATAAATTATATGTTATGCTGAAATTTAGTGCTATTTTTACCTTTTCGTACTTCAACCTTGATTTTGGTACTTTAAAAAAGTCTATGTTTAATTTAAGAATATATTGTTATCTTGTCTTGATATTTGTTTCACGAAGACTACTGTCCCTAATGTTTCAATAATATTTTTTGAAGTACAGAGCTAGACTGTACTTGTAATGAGCTTTAACAGTTGATGACTCACTTTTACACTAAGACAATGTACGAAAGCTCTTTAAAGATATGAATATTTAACCAAATATTTTATAAACGAAAATAACCAACATCTCAAAGTATAAAAAAGATTCCCTTGAGAACAACAACAATTCTACTATCAGCTATGACATTCACATGTAGGTGTCCTTCACAGAAATATAAATGACCAATAGAAACGATTTCGAATCACTAGATGTCACCAAAATCAACAGCTAAAAACCTCATTTTAAAACTTTACACAACCATTGTAAATGATAAATTAAAGTACAGGTTTTTTTATATTATTGACAGTTGTTTTTTTTTTAATAAAAATGGAACTTGTAAATAACATGTCATTGATTATTTGCAAAAGTATTTTCTTTAAAAAAAAAATACTGATTGTGCACACAAGTACTCTGAAGTTGACATCGAATAGATGGTTGAGTTTCTGATTTACAATATCTATGTAGTTTTTGGAGGCCAGGTCTCACAATAATCTAGGGGAATTTCCATGGGTACCAATCACACCCTTTTATTAGCAGACCTATTTTTGTATTCATATTTAGCAGAATTTGTGCAAAATAGTATGCGTCAAAAGAAGGATTGTTGGTGTAGGGTGGGAGAAGTTATTCAGAATTAAAGGTTTTCTAAACATTTAAAAGATTGTTAATCAGAATGTTCTTTCCCATCATAAATTTCGAGATACGTAATATATTTACTTCCATAGAGTGAATCTATATTTTTCATTTTAAATATATGAAGTTGCTAATCATTTGCAATCGAAAAAAGACAGGTCCTTTTTTTTTTAGAAAATCGAATTTTACTTACAGCATAAAATGTACTCTACACAGTAAGTATTTTATATTCTTAAAGTGAAACATATTTATGAATATAAGTAATGCATGCATCTGGTTTCAATTCATATTTTATGCAGCAAACATTTACTTTAGGAGTTAATAAAGTTTTAAAGGATATTGTTTTTGTTCGATTTTTATCCGACAATAAGTTTTCAAAATATTCTCGTCTATCGTCTCCATTATCTAGACGCATGCCAATTTCATACATTTCGAAGAGGTTTGATGATCAAGATGACACATTTCCGTTATTTTTTTTTTTTATTTCTCGGGCGACACAATTGATGTTTACATCAATGTTTTCTTGTTTTGGATAATATTAAGGGACCGAAGTAAGTAAGTCTTGGCGTATGACGTTGTTGATATGCCTAGCAGGGCTAATCATTGATGAAACATTTCATACATGAACACAACGTTAATTCAAGCATGGTGTCTAAATATAACATAATTACAAGCATCCCGAGCCCAATCATAATACACCAACAGGCGTGAACAAACAATATCATAAAATAATTACAAGTACTACAGTATGGTAAATATTTTGTTTATTTAATTTTATATACATAGAGTTTTCTATCCACATATTTGAAGAGTAAGCAATCAAATTGATATATTCATATTGGCACTTTTTATATTTCCTTCAGTTTATATATTTGATAATTATAAAAATACAGGGGAAGAGGTGTCTATTCCCAAATCTGAGCATACTCTTTTTAGGGTACACTTAATATCTGAATTATCTTGTCTGCTAAAACTTATTTGGGTAGTTCGCTGTTTGCTTTTCTATATCAATTTTGGTACTGATGAAGACCTTTTGAGCGGTTGCTTTGTGCATACTTATTCATAGTCCGAAATATCTTGTTTTATAGGAGTTTATGCCATTTTAATAATTTTTTTGCCACGAAAACGTCTGAACCGGTTTGTGTGTGTCATCTTTTCTTTCAATTTTATAAAAAAAATAAAAGTTCTTTTGTCACACAAAGAACTTGATCAAAGATTTCTCTTTTTTAAACTTATTTTAACACTTAGTATTGATAAATGGCTATAACAAAAAAATGTTTTTCTCTTATATCTTATTGTAATGTTTTAAATTGTTCCAAAATTATGTTATATTTTAAGTTGTTTTGAATTCGATTCATGCAAACGAGAAATATGAAGGAAATACATTGTCTTACCCATTTAAAAAGATTAACAAGAACACCGAGCGTTTTTATAATCACAGCAGCATTCGAAATCGATACCAATAGAAATTAAATCACTTCGATTCGCACATAATAAATGTACTCACCCTCGCGATTGTGTTTGGGATATTGACATAAGAATTAACAATACGTGATTACTATTTTCCATCTCTCTTTTTATTCTGTTTGACTCAAGTTCATTATTTATAAAAGTAAAATTATTTTAGTTCATGAATAACAACTTAATGCTCGAGTATAGTTTGAAGACACAGAAACTGTAATCATTATTTAACGTGTTCGAGTATAGTTTGAAGACACGGGAACTGTGTTTCATAATTTAACGTGTTCGAGTAAAGTGTGAAGGCACAATAACTGTTATTCATTATTTAACGTGTTCGAGTATAGCGTGAAGGCATAATAACTGTTATTCATTATTTAACGTGTTCGAGTACTAGTATAGTGTCCTAGTTTGCACAAACATGCGTGAAAAGAAGAAAACACTTGATGTGGCCTTCAGCTAGACATTTAGATATATCGACGACTTTTTGTCAATTAACAATGGTAATTTCCATTCTTACACTGATACAATATATCCTGGTGAGCTTGAGATAAAAGATACCACAGAGTCTGACATATATGTTTCATACTTGGATATTTTACTTGAAAGACGTTAATTGTTATCTCACAACCTAGCCATATGATAAAGGCGAGGATTTAAACTTTTCTATCGTCAACTTCCCTAACATATCCCTGAAACACCTACATACGGAGTGTATATATCTCAGTTGATTCGATACACAAGAGAATGCTCTACGTATGAACGATTTCAAAAACGAGGTAAAATATTGACAAGCAAGTTAATGAAGCAAGAATATCAGCAGTCTCGTTTAAAGCCATCATATCGAAACAATGACCTTGTCAGCAAATAGAATTTATCATTCAGTCAAATGCTGACTGACATTTTTTTCATACTAATTGTTACTCTAATATTAATACACTGAATCGACGAAGGATGTTTCCGTTATTTGCCAATCATGAAACTTGGTGCCATGCACATCTCTTCTTTAAAATGACTCTTCGATGTAAAGTGCTTAAATAACTTAATACTGTGCCTTTTTATTTCGATGAATGGTGGTTCCTCAAAAAAAATATCTGAAAAAAAAAATTAAATGGAATTTCTCCAAAGGTATTTGTCTTACTGTAATAAGTCTTACCACGAAAAGCATAAATGAAATGATGTTTTTTTTTTATTATTGCTATGTTTAAGTTACAAGTTTAAAAGATTCTTTTCTGTTCCAAAGCCATAGGTTTAAATATGAAGAAAAACAGTTTCTTTATAGAATATTACTTAAATCTACAAAAGCGTACCATAAATGGAGAAGATTCAAGTACTAAATTTGAAGGTTGAGTACTATTCGTTATTTACATATCCTTCTTACATTAATTTTAGTTAAAATATATATAAACTACATTTGTTGAGAAAAAAATTCGGTTTATTCTCATATACTGTATAATATCAATTTTTGTCAATTTATTAGCTTTACAGTCTGTATAAAGTTGACAGCATGATTGTTATATTTTAGTTTATATTTTAGGGTAAGGTTCAGAAATATATAATTTCTAATTAAACTCATTGCCGAATTAGACATTTATAATATATATTAACATATAGATAAATTTTAAAAAAAAATAAAATATTTTAATATCACATATGTTCAGGGATAAAATTTTTGTGTTTTTTTGGAAAAACTCTTCGATATAATATGATATGACATGATTTGATTTCGTAAAAAAAGTTTTAAATGTAATATTTTAATTTTCGTGATTGACGTTAATTTGAGAGGCTCTTCATACCCAACAATTTGATCATCCTCAAAATTCTGTGAATTCACAGTACGAACATTTCATGCAGCTATCAATTTTATAAAAACAAATAAATATGGTAAAAATCTTAAATATAAATGTGCAAGACATGTTAGGAAGAGAAGCTTGCAATACTCACTGGTATAAGTATAAAAGCAAATTATGAACAGTCAGATTATGACATTCCCTAATTGACACGTCACACGTGATGGTTATAATTGATTTTGGTTTACATATCTACATGACACGGCAAGGAGGTTCAATTGCTTCAGTACTTCTGGCCTTATTATCAATTCTATTTCCATCTACAAAAAAATTAATGACACAACCAAACCACTTGAAGTGATAAGTATGTTCTCCTTTGTTTCCCAGTATAAGTGATTTGTGTTATGAACCATTAAGTACTTTCAAGTATTCTGTTTTTACGTTCCGCAATTTTAAAAAATCCCGAGATATCTCTTTATACTCCGTATGACGTCATCTAATTGAGGAAATCCCCAAACGCCTCTATATATACCCCATGAAATGTCTGGTTTAAACACGACATTGATATCCTCTGGTAAGTTCGCGTAAAAATTGGAAGAATGATGTCTTCAATTCTGGTACTGCTTTTCATGTCAATATCACAAGCCAGGGCGGGTTCCTTATTAACCGGTACCTATGATCCGAATTCTACAGCTTTGACCAACGACAGACGTGAAATAAAGGAAATTGATGTTCTGCGACAGATCATCAACCAGGAGACTATAATCCGTTTAAGCGTGGTTAAAGACGTCAAGGCAGCTGTGGATGACGTGAACTCCGTGAAGCGAAGCATGGCGTCCACAGAAATCATTATCTCGTCCCTACAGCAGACGGTAAATGGATTGAAAAATCAGGTCGATTCTCTAGCCCAAGATAAGAGATTAGCGGAGAAATCAGAAACATTACAAGGGAAGTTAATACTCTTAGCAGACAGAACCGGATTTTGACACAGAAGATAGAAAACTTGGAAAAACAGGTTGAAGTAAACAAGACAAACTTTTTACAGCAGATGGTAGACGCATTACAAAGACAGGTTACTTCTATGAGTCAGGATCAGAGAAGAGAAAACAAGAAAATTGCAAAGAATTGCGAGAACAAGATTCAAGAAATCGAGCAGAAGTTTAATAGAAACATCACTGAGATTTACGAACTTCTAAACAACAGAACATTGCAAACCGTCACAAAAGGTATTCACTCTCTCTCTTTCTCTCTCTCTCTCTCCATGTATCTCTCTATCTTAGTGTGTATTTTTTTATATCAATTATATGTTGTTCTTTTTAAGATTCCAAAATAATTACGGACTGTAAGGATCACTTTCTACACGGCCATAAACAAATTGGTGTATACAGTATAAATCCTTTCGGTAACGAGACTCGGGTACAGGTGTACTGTGATATGGAGACAGAAGGCGGAGGGTGGACAGTAAGATTTATCTCCCTTTCTTTTGAGTTTTTGAAAAAAAAAATAAAATAAAAACAGATTTTTCTTTATTTTGTCTTAAAGATATTTATTTTCTGTTGTTAACTTGTAGGCAATCCAGAAGCGAGTGAGTGGATCTGTAAGTTTCGACAGAACGTGGGTGGAGTACAAGGATGGGTTTGGTACCCCTAATGACTCTTACTGGATAGGTAAATAATTATATTAATTACTTTATTACTTTATCAGCAATGTTTATTTTTTTGCATCTGTGTATGTTTCAGGGAAAACAATTTTTTTTAAAAATGCATTTATTTGCAATTCATATCTTTTCAATACTTTATGAATTGATATAGCAATTTTATGTATATTGATAAAACTTAATACACCCGTACATTTAACTATTGAAGGAAATGACGTCATTCATCAGCTTACTAAGGGAAGAAACTCCTCCCTCTACGTCTCCATAACGTTACAAAATGGAACAATTTTATATGAACTATATCAACAGTTCTCTGTGTCTGATGGAACGGACAAGTACAAACTTTTTCTTGGAGGTCCAGCTACCGGAACTTTAGGTAAGTGATAAGTAAAGTGTGTGTTACAACGCACTTTCAAAAATTACGCACTTTGGAAAAAAAATTCAAAGTGCGTTAAATTTGGAACCAAATTAACGCACTTTGAAAAAATAAAATTTCTTTTCAAAGTGCGTTTATATCAACCATATTTACGCACTTTGAAAAAAAATGTATGGTTCGGTCAATATTCTTGAAAATCTTGGGAATGATAAATAATTTAACATGTTTGTTAAGTCTTCGGTGGTTAGGTCACTCCAGGATGTAAAAGTGAGCGATTTTGATTTTTCCATGCTTTGAGAATTCTTTATTATCAAATGTTTTACTGTCAGTAATTTTTTTCCAGTTTGCATGCTTGTTATATAAACTAAAATTTATTCAGTAATTCAAAAAGATATATATGTGGGTGTAACATAGGTGTATTTACCGGAAGGGGGGCTTAGACACACATTTTTTTTTTGCAAAGATATACATATCATAGGTATTGAAAATTGTTTAAGAAAAAAGAGCTGAGCTGAGAGACCTTCTACTTCTCCTTGTTCTCAATATGGTTAAATGAGTACATGTAAATTAAGTTTTTCGAAAGATATAATTAATATCATAAATAGTAAAATCTAATTCTAGAATTTTTGTTTTATGCATAATTTTTTCAAAGTGCGTAAAATGTCATCGTGGTGATAAATGCATTTTTTATTTCAAAGCTGCATAATTTTTTCAAAGTGCGTTGCCACAAGTGTGTGACTTTTCCTTGATCCGGCACTGATAAAAAAAAACTGAGAGAAATAATGAGAGAGTGAGAGAAGAAAGGAAATGAACAATTAGGTGAGAGAGAGGAAAATAAAAAGAGATGTACTTATTCTATAAGAAGGATATGGCAATTTTAATCTGTCTTGTCTTCCGCTAGCAAAATGTATGCTCTATCTCTTATTAATGCGTTGCACCCCCCCTCCACCTTTAAAACAATATTTTTTTGTAAATGATATTAGATTAATATTTTAACACTAAGTACGCCTCCCTTACTATATTATGTAACTATATTAATGGTTAAATGTCTTGAGAATATCATTTTTGCATTGAATGTAGAGAAATTCTGTAACATATTTAATGCTAATACTATTGTATTTGTGAAATTCATTTATAAATTTTAACGATTCCTATCAGATAATTTATTTTGTACACGTCACGCTATTCACCGCAAAACTATCGTATTATATAATTCTGCTCGGCGTCGTTACGCTTAATACGCTAATACCAGAAAATAATGGCATGTTATGATACAAATAATAGATCTAGAGAGAAAAATGGAACATTATAAATGATAAATTGCTATTTTGTACGTAATTTTGATGTATTCATATTTCTTGATTATTTCACTGAATATATTACAGGGAAATATTGTTTAGAAAAGAGTGAAATTGAGTTGAGTGAGTTAAAGAATTAGATATTACAACGGAAATCAATGCATTTATTTCTATGATAATCTACATAACCTGAGATATAATGCTATTTCAAAGTTTATGTAACTTGTTTGAGTCCTGTGTATGATGTGCATAGTTCATTGGAATCATTTCTATGTCTTTGTTACTTGTTGGACATTGATTTAAGTATCATATATCAATTAATTTATTACAAAGTTCATGTATCTTATTAGAGATTTTGTGTTGAGTAGGGATGATTGATTTTGATAACTTTCAAGAAGTTAATGAAGGACCTTGAACTGAGTTAAGTTTCATTTTATTTTTTTTTACAGGAGACTCTATGTTAGACACAGGTTATTATTACACAGGTCTGTCTGGGATGTACTTCTCTACCCCGGACAGAGATAATGACAAGGCTAGTAATAACTGTGCTGCTGCCTATAACCGTAGAGGAGGCTGGTGGTTCAACGCCTGTCACTATGCCTTCCTTAACGGTCAATGGTCCCCGGGGTACTGGTACAGACCATGGTCTCCCACAGTGAATGATAGGGAATTAGTGAGGAAGACAATGATGCTAATCAAACGTCACTAGGTAAACAACTGGTTTTGAATTAAATAAGTTTTATTATCTGAAATCGTAGCTATAAATAGCCACAATAAAAGATTTCTAGTTTATCCTTCTTTTACACTGTTTTGTTTTACAGATGCAGAATCAAAAAAAGAAGAAATGAACAAATCATAAAATAGATCAATATAATTTCGAGTCACTAATGAGAGACATTATCATTTTCATTATTATTCTATTATTCTATTGATGTTAAGAATTCCTTCTTTCAATAAACGTTTCTTAATAAAATTGGTAATCCTTGTGAATGGATATCTATTTGTGTACTTGTATAATGTCGAAATTGATATCATCATTATTTGTATACATTTTAATGTTAATTCTACATATACTATAACATACCTTATTTGTTATAGAACTAAGTTGTATATGTGTATATATTAAATGTTAATCATGTCAGTGTCTTTGTAATCATTTTTTATATATTTTTTTTCTTTTAAATTTTGTTTCATTTGAAAATGAAGTATAATAATCATGCCTTAAAGTCTATTTAAACAATACACATTGTGAACAAAGAAAACCTCTACCTCTATAAATATTAATGAAGGGAACATCAGCATTGTAAAAGCAATTAAAATGATCAATGTCAAGATTTACGGAAACGGAAAAATTTTTTTTTTAGGAAATGTTTAATTCGCAGAGGTCCATAATGGAAAACAAGCAAAATGTTTTCTGTCAAACTCAACGAAAAACAATAAGTGAAGAAGAATATATACAAATTGTTCAAATAAATGACAACATATTACATCCAGGTCAATATACGTATTGTTTGTACAGGTGACAGTATATTACACCCAGGTCAATATACGTATTGTTTGTACAGGTGACAGTATATTACATCCAGGTCAATATACGTATTGTTTGTACAGGTGACAGTATATTACACCCAGGTCAATATATGGTGAAATCACTATGCCATGGTCAATTTACGGATTGTTTGTACAGGTGACAGTATATTACATCCAGGTCAATATACGTATTGTTTGTACAGGCGACAGTATATTACACCAATGGTCAATATACGGATTGTTTGTACAGGTGACAGTATATTACACCCAGGTCAATATACATGTACGTATTGTTTGTACAGGTGACAGTATTGCACCCAGGTCAATATATGGTGAAATCACTATGCCATGGTCAATTTACGGATTGTTTGTACAGGTGACAGTATATTACACCCAGGTCAATTTACGGATTGTTTGTACAGATGACAGTATATTACACCCAGGTCAATTTACTGATTGTTTGTACAGGTGACAGTATATTACACCCAGGTCAATTTACGGATTGTTTGTACAGGTGACAGTATATTACACCCAGGTCAATATACATGTACGTATTGTTTGTACAGGTGACAGTATTGCACCCAGGTCAATATATGGTGAAATCACTATGCCATGGTCAATATACGGATTGTTTGTACAGGTGACAGTATATTACACCCAGGTCAATTTACGGATTGTTTGCACAGGTGACAGTATATTACACCCAGGTCAATTAAAGCCATTTTTATAGTCAGAGATGTATAAATGTCTCTTTATCATGTTTATAGCGAGCGCAGCGAAGCAAGCTCAATAGACTGACGTGTATGAACAGAGGAAATTTGGATTGAAATCTGTACATACGTCAGCCAAATCTCTCTGTGCAACATTCCAAGAATTCCCGCACTTCCCAATTTCCTTTGCGCAAATAAATAAAAAATAGTAAAAAAATTATAGGAACATTGTTTCTCACCGAAATCTTAACGAATGATTTTGCCTTACCTTATTCAAAAAATACCCCCATGCCACAACACCGGCCTTCACCTTGCCCCTCGGAAATGATACAAATGATGTCACCGGAAACTTACGAAATTTGACGAAATTATGTCGGTTGCTTCCGTGAACCTCGGAACACATGTTGTGGTGCATAGCAACATGGTGGCTTAAAGATACGCAGGTAGGTTAAGATTACAACCAAATATTCTACTTGCCTATATGATATGACGTCATAGTAAGCTGTATGACGTGAAGTTTAGAGATAATTATTTCTTATAATCGATATCTTAGATTGATTTGAGGTCGTAAAATTAATCAACATATGCAGAGGCATAATACAAACAGAATTTTGTTGTTTCTGCGTCTCTGTAGTTATCACAGGGGTTACATACCAAACCCGTGACGTCATAACTGTTGATCATGCAGTAGCAGAGTGAAAGTGAAACATAACGTGAATTCATATAAACAAACACAAGAAATCGGAGTTTAAAAGCATTTAGAATGAATAACTTGTTTGATTCACTTGGGAATAAAGCTTATGAATAAGGTATGGTAATATACTTCTACAATTTCTTCGTTAAATTAAAGCAGGGAGGGTGTTTACTTGCCGAAAAGCCTTTCCTCTGTTGTTCGTAACAAATAAGATGCAAAAGTTCAACACTACGCCGCACAATTTTAAACTTAATTTTTGTGTCTATCTAAAGATCTTATTCTATTGTTTTGGAAAGTGCTGCTAGAATCGTATGATTAACGGGAATTAATGCATTTTTTTCGATGTTATGAACAAAATGAAAAAATTTTGGGAAGGTTTCGTCCAAAAATGTTGAATATTTATTTCTGTGATAGGACAGTGGGATTCTAGAAGCACTTTTCATGGTACAGAGATGTTTTTACATAACTAATATTACAAATTGAAATTTATTATCCCCGGGGTAGTGTTGAACTTTTCACTTTTTCATTAAGGCATATTTTCTAATTATAGACGTCACGTGGTGCCCTCGTGGTGAAGTGCGTGATGTAGTATAAGTCCCATTGAAGTCTGTAGAATGCATAAATATAACAAAAGTTCTATCCTTGACTTTTCCGATTTATTAGTGTTACATAATTATAAAAAAGTGTTAATTCGCCGAATTCTAGTCCATGTGCTGCCTTAACATACCCGCGTAGCAACAACTTACTTGAAAAGAACGATCTAATGCA